GTTACAAAGCAGAGGTTTGGATTCAGGCAGTCTGACTTCAGGCCCCAGCCCCTTATCAACATACTACACAGCCACTGATATGGTCAGTGTCAGAGTCCATTTGGAGAAATACAAAAATAAGATCCACAGTATTATAAAAGTTGAGAACCTGGCTAAGGAAGATGACTGACAGTGAAAAGTTAGTAGCTCTTCCAGTCTTTGTCCCTTGAACCCAAGGCAGGCGCATACCAGCATCAGGAACAGCCCTAGTCCTGCATGTGGCCCCACCCCAAAAGACAGCTGGCCTAGGCTTTCCTACTGCACTTGGAATAAGGTCCAAGCTTCCAGCTTCAATCTGACTGCTGTCTGCAAAGGAGAGTTGCTGTAAGGTTTTCATTCCAACTCACAGACTGGGTAAATGAAAAAGCTGATGTTTTGGTTACTTTTCTCAATGCTGAGACAAAATACCCAGCGCCCAAAGTTAAAGAAGGAAAGGTTTATTTAGCTCAGTTTGTAGAGGTTTAAGTCCACACTCAGCTGGTTTCAAGGCAGTGTGGTGTGGCAGAAGGGCAACAGTTCATGGCAGGCAAAGGCAGCAAAAGCAACAAGAGCAAAAGGGGGAGAGCAAACCTTTTTTCCTCCCTTATATTATATGCAGGCTACCTGCCCTCAGGTGTAACACTCACACCAAGCCAGCACTAGACACTGAACCAATCACAAACTCTAGATTTAGCTGCCTCCGAAAAGCCCGCCATCCCCAGGACCACAGGAGACTCTCAGGGGCATCCAGACACAAACTGTAACAGCTGGTCTGCAGAGTGAGATCAAGAATGCTATGAGAAAAGACCAGTTATTGAGGAAAAATATTCCAAGTTAACAACTTACCTGTTTAATGCCTGTTTAGGCTTAGAACTGAGGTATGCTGTTAGGACTTATGACCTACGTTTTTCTTTTTGTAGTTCTTGTTTATATAGAAAGCTCCTATGTCTCTTTTGTACCGTACACCTTTAACAGTATGATAATTTTTGTTGATTGTACTATACAGTACTATAGTTTTATGTCAATATATATTGAAGTACTGCATGCATGTGATGGTTATGCAAATCAAAGCAAAGTCATCAAGCTGGATTTCCCTTTGGCCATTTCTTTGTCCTGAATATTGTAATGTACATACTTACACAATTTCTCATTCAGTGACTAATTCACTTAACAACCTAGTCTCAGCATCAGGATTCAGTTGCTGAACAAGGAATGTGTGCACTGAGATCAGGAAATACTTCTGACCTTGACTATTACATTACAGGAAATTCTTTGTGAGTTATTGTAACTCAAGAGTTTTAATGAATGCCTTCATGACATTTTCAAGCCAACACGGCTGCTTTAAGAAGCCTCATTAGCAGTTATAAGCTGCATAGTGAGAAGAAGGGACCAGCAGGAGAAAGTTGAGGGTAGTAATTGAGATAACAGAAAATGACAATGCAGAGACCACAGGAATGGAGAAAAAGGACTTGGAGTGAAGGAAGGGAATCATGACATTTTAGTTCTTTCTTCAAGTGCCAAAACCATCCACTTGAATGAATTATTTTATTTTTCCAATATAACATAATACCTATTATATCCCTCTGGTAACCAGTTAGTTGAATATGGATAAAGTTTCTCCTCTTCCTTAAAGGACCAATATACTTCCATATACTATATCCCCCATTTATAATTAGTTTTTGAAGACTCTAAACTTCTTTCCAACATTTATTATGAAGTTTCAAACATAGCAACATTTAAAGAACTTCATGTGAACAACTGTAAATACCACTGACATTTTACTATATTTGCTTTACTGAATATCTAGCCAGGTCTATCCCTTTATCCACCCATTAATTCAGCTTAACTGTAGTACCATTCAAAGTAAACTCAGGCAACACAATATCAGTCTTAGTAGTAGTAGTAGGAATTGAACCAGGGCCTTTGCACTGAGCTACATGCTTAGTCTATTATTTTCTATTTTGAGACAGTCACTAAGTTGCGCAGGTTGGGCATGAACTAGGGATCCTCCAACCTGAGCCCCGCAGTGCTGGGATTACAGGGGTACACTACCTCTCAGTATTATTAGACACCAGTAGTTTCAAATTTGCTCAGCTTTTCTCTTTTGTGGTGTTAGGAAACCAAATCTAGGCCCCAGCATGTGCTGAGTGAGCATTCCACCACGGAGTCTTGTCCTGAGCACTTTTTAATATAATTACAATGGAACACAAACCTTGGATGTATTCTCTGGATTCTGACATTCAGTTACATAGCCCATACACTTACCCAAGAGTGAGAAGACAGCTATCCTCCCAAACACTGTCGGGTCCCTTCTTTTAATTCTTGTCTTCACTCTCACTCCAGGAAGTCTCCAGCGATTGTTTTCACCCTGGGTTAGTTTGGGGACAGGTTCTCTTCCATCCTCTCCTTGACCCTCCTGTAGTGATTTCCTGCAGGTTCTCGTCAGGCCCGCTGTGAAACATGGTTCATCTGCACCCTTGCGCACACGAGGAAAGGGACTGTGTGTCCCTGTTAGTCTTGGGGTAAGTGCTAAGACTCAGGCAGGGCCAACCCAGCCTTTAACGAAACTGGGGAGCAAACCTGTGAAGTTGTTTTTAAAATGGCCAGAAAGGTTACTGTTTGTATTTCTGTATGATTGCACCTTTCATAGTTTTTAACTGCTAAAGGCAGGGTTAATAGGATTTTAAAAGAAAAAGTACCTGAACCTTGACCACAGGAGAGGTCAAGGAGTCTGTTTTTAAAGACAGAAATCCACCCCTTGAACAAACTGCTTTCCTCTTCAATATATGAATGGTACTCAAAACATGTGTGTGTGTGTGTGTGTGTGTATAAATTTTTTTTTTTTGGTGACAGGGTCTTGGTAGGTAGCTCAAGCAGATGTCAAAGTCATGACAATCCTCCTGCCTCAGCCTCCTGAGCGCTGAGATTACAGGTGTGCAAGACCACACCCAGCTAAAACATGCATTTTACATCACCCATGCTGGCCTGGTTGTCTGCTGCTCTCACTGAATCCATGGCATGAAGGACTGCCTCTCTCACCCTCACCCTGTATTTTTCAGAGGTGGACAGGGTATGTGTGGGCTGCAGTGTTCTCATAAGGGGAAAAAATGGTCAACATCATTGTTCATTCGGGGAATGCAAATTAAAACACTGAGATTCCATCTCACCCAAGAAAGAATGGTTATCATCATGAAATCAACCAATAACAAATGTTGGCAGGTCTGCGGGGAAACGGAGCCCGTCTCCACTGTTGGTGGGAGTGTAGACTGGTGCAACCACTGTGGAAATCAGTGTGGAGATTCCCCAAAAAACTAGGACTAGAGGTCCTAATTGATCCAGCTATTTCCCTTCTGGGTATTTTTCCAGAAGAATTAAAAACATACCACAATGATATATGTGCACCTATGTTTATAGCAGCACAATTTGAGATAGCCAGATCTTGGAAACAACCTAAATGCCCATCAAATGAGGAATGGATAAAAAAGATGTGGTATTTTTAGCAATGTAGTATTACTCAGCCATAAAGGAGGATAAACTTCAGGCTTTTGTAAGTAAATGAATGCAACTAAAGACTATACTGCTAAGTGAAATAAATCAGACTCACAGGTATAATACTGTATTGTCACTAGTGTAAGAAACTGAAAGTAAATAAGATTCAAAAGTTATATTAGATATAGTGAAAGAGAAAGAAACTGCTCAAAGGAAAGTCACATTGTTTGATCAATTTTGCATGCCTGTATCTGGTAACCTGAGCAATTCTTTTGAAGATAACATTATGTAATATAACAACCACTATTAAATTCCTATCATCTTGTTTTGAAATCCTGTATCACTATTTTGTTGTTAACATTTGGCTTTTGTTGTTTCTGTTTGTTTGCTTGATTGATTTCTAATTTTTTTTTTAAAGGTGTGTTAAATGTCAGTCTACAGATCCTGTCCCTGCAGCGAAGTGGGGGGCCCTGGGTCCTGCGCAATGGATGGTTTTACAGATACCCTGGAGTCACAGTGCAGCATAAGCATAGCACACAGGAGCTTTAGTCAGCCTCCCTCTACTGTCACCTCTTCCTCTGTGGACAGGCAGGGAGATGAAGGCACAGGCACCAGTCCTCTACTGGAACCAGCTCCTGCTCCACTCCTCACCCTCACCTGAATCCTAGGGACAGGCAGAAAGAAGAGGGCAACACAATTCTCCAAAGCCTGAGAGCTAACCAAGAGTGGAATTCAAAAACAGAAGCCGAGGGGCTGGGGATTTAGCTCAGCGGCATAAGCGCCTGCCTTGCAAGCAGGCAGTCGTGAGTTCAATCCCTGGTACCGATAAAAACGAAAAAGACCAAAAAAAAAAAACAGAAGCCATACACCTAGGGTTGTAACGACTTGGGAATACAAATATCACAGAATAAGACATGTGAAAGGAATGTGGTCCTGGACACAGCAGGGCGGCCAGCCAGCCAGACAGGAAAGGGCAGCCTGCACAAACAAAGGTGTTTCCACTCATGCTGCTCTGCAGGCGGGAAAGGTCAAGACATGGAACTTTCCAGAACAAACAAAATCTAGGAAGGATTAAACACAACTAGATAGATAAAATTCTACTTTCCAAAATCATCTCATCCTCTCTTCTAGCTTTAAATGAACTCAGACCCCTCCCAGCAATTAAACAACAGGATTCTCATGTTCTATCCTCACAAGAAGCAAACAAAGGGCAACAATTTCAGTGTTTTAAAAGCCCTTTTCTTTTAGCTGCCTGATAGGGCCTCCTAACCCTGCTCTATTCTTCTTCATAGCATTTTATCACTGCCTGTACTGGCTCTCTCTCCCATGCATCCTGTACACCATACGCCACCGGAAACCCAGAGGGGCACAGCCCAGCTCTCCTAGGGCTCTCCCTATTGTTCGGCCTGCTAGGACCTAGGACAGGCTTAACAATTTCCGAATGAATGAAAAGGACTGCTCTGCGAGTTATGCCAACCACACCAAATCCAGTATTGGATGTAAATTGTGCTTTAATTTCTGCAATCAGATATGTTGCAGTGAGAATATAAACGTTTTGTGCATTCAGAAAATAAAAAGCACATTTATACAGATATAGCCCAACAGCTTATTCCTTAAAAAAAAAAAAGAAAAATTTGAAATTAAAGCTAGTTTATCTTCAGTGTAAAAACTTGGAGGTATAAACAAAGTCAAGGTATTATATACAGTAAATTACTCATGTACATTTCCAAACTTGCACAGTGCAGCATTTTAAAGTAAATGGTCTCATTTCAGCTTTTACTGTTAAGCATAATCCACATCTGAATCTTGAATAAAAATTTCACAATATATAAACCCACTCAGAATTCTGTACACAAATATAAGCTATAGAAATCTGATTTCAAATATAAATACATAAATCATCATGACCTTATATGTTATAGGCTTGCTTATTTTGCTATAGTAATTTTTTTTTTAGAAAATCATAGAAAAATATTTCAATGCACATTCAGCTTCTATGGTAAGGGCCATGACCTTGTGTCTTTAAACTATATTTTATGGAGTGTAAAGTATCACAGCAGGCATTTTGGGAATGAAAAGTACTAAGATTGAAGAGGCTACCATACAAATATTCATGTTATAACAAGATAACAAAATAGTAAGCTTATAGTGTATTTGGGAGGAAATGGGGCAGAAAAGGAAGTAGGGATTAGTGCTAGTTTAAGAAGGCCCAATATGTGAAGGTAGCCAGAACTCCATTCCCTATATTAAATTCCCTATGTATTTTAAAAAACCGCTACTCCAAGTCTAACGCTGACCGCACTCCTAAGACTCTTAAGGCAACAAAGACTGAGGTGTGTGTGGCCCCCAGCTGCACAAATCCTGCCCTCCTCTCAACCTGCTATCTTAACTGACCAACCTGGCTTGCACATTAAGGTGGAATGGAGAAGAGCAAAATAATTGATTGTACAAAGGTGATTCAGTGCAAACTGGAAACTCCTTTGTCAATAGCTTCAAATTCTCCTATTGCCCTCCAGTAGGTATTTCTAAACATCTAACATTCAAACAGGGATCTATTTTGAAGAGCAAACGTTTATAAAAGGCAAACATTCAATCTGAAAGACTCTAAGGGTTTTTTCCCTTTCTTTTGTGGGATTTGACAAGAGTTCTACTGAGAATGAAGAACTATTCCTTACAAAGTGTATTTTCCTACATTAAAAAAATACATATGACTTTAGACAGCAGATCCAAGGAGATGACCAGGCATCATTGAGTTTTTTCTATGGCTTCTTAAATCACTGAGGTATCCTGTGAGAATCATCCTTCTGGCATTGCTGATTAGCTGCTTTCCTGCATGCTGCATTCATATTCACAAGAGGCTGACCCCAGCAGACTGTGCAGGACCAGAGCAGGCAAGGCAGGCAGGCAGCTGGGGCGCAGCTGAGGATCCACACTGCATGAGCGTGCTCACGGGTCAAGGTGTTCAAACACTGGCAAACTCCAGAGGCCGGGAAGCTCCTCTGGGCGAACCAAGAGATCCCCCAGGTTCAGCAGCAAGACACTGGGACTGTGTGCGCCAAGGCAGGCAGCACAGAGGGACGGTGCTGAGGAAAGACCCGCAGCTGGCAGCACAGGGAGGAGGGGGTGGCGGCTGGCCCAGCACTAGACACGTGGCATGAGACATAGTCCAGGAAGGAGGGAGGAGGGCTGAGTGTTAGGATGTGAGCCAACAGTGGAACTTTCTAACTTTTCCGCAGACAAGGGGAGCAAGAGAGGAAAGACGCTATGGTTTAAGTAAAGCCCATCCATCTTAGTACCTCTGTCTCAGTCTCTGAACGCGCACAAACACCTCATAAGGTTGACCTTGCTCCTGAGACGGGCTATCAACTCACTATTCCCAATGGTGGGATGAGTTATCTAGGCACGGAAAGGACCAGAAGGGACTGGGGATATAGCTCAGCGGCATAGCACCTGCCTGGCAAGTGCGAGGTCGTGAGTTTGATTCCCGGTACAAAAAAAAAGAACTAGAAGAAAGAAGTGACTTTAAGCAATATCAAACTGAAACTCTTTCTAGTAGTAAACTGGCCCCTGGGGGTTCTCTCTAATACTTAGGCATCAGAAAACAGCCACAATCCTATGCTGGGACAAGTAGGAATTCCTTCTAATTAATAATACTTGAGATACGGTTTTAATTGCATAGTCTTTCAGAACCATGAAAAAATTGAGAGGCAGTCTTTTCTTCAAGGCCTAAGTGTTATCCAACAGAGGATGGGCTATGACCCTCCCAGCATTAGCAAGATCAGAGATCAGTGGTCCCAACTTCCCACATGCCTCACCACAGTCACCAAACATACAAGTCACAAGTCCCCTAGGTCCACAAACTCGTCTTCACGTTTGGCCAGATCTTCCTCATCTCCCAAAGTTTTCCAGCCACTGGTGGGCAACACAGGCTTGGACGAGTGTCGCTGGAGCAAAGCAAAAGGAAAGAGGGAGGACAGGCGGACAGAGTTCCTCAGCAGGGAGGGCGCCTCGGCCTGGTGGGGCGCTGGGCTGTGGTGCCGCTCATCAACTTTCTCTTGTAAGCGCTGGACTTCCTCCATCATTTCAAGGAGTTTGCTCATGGTGGCCACTCTGCCACCACCCACGATTTGGGCTTCTGGAATCCAACGCAAGTAGCGCTGTGCCCAAACTTTGATTTCTGGCCCCTCTATATGAGGCAGCAACAAGCCGTGGTAGTCAGTAGGCCTGCTGTGCCAGCTGTCATAGAACTCCCGGAGGTTGTCCTGCAGCTCATCCGAGGAGTTAATGAGTTTGCTAATTCTCTTGCCCAGAAGGTTTTTAATTAAATGATCTGTTTCCTCCCTGAAAAATCCTCTTTTGGGAGATGACTTAGATTGGGTGAGTGGCAAAGAAAGTTGTCGTTGATGCTTTGAGAGAAAACACAAATAAAAATCTCTGGTTAACACAAAGGCACTGTTAGAGCTGTTGCCATAAAGGGAGTAACCCTGCCTTAACAAGCGCTGAGAGACATCAGGATGGCCATGTGAGTGCATATTCATTAAAATGTTATCACACACAGTGGAAGGTGGGTTCTTATTTATTCTCCTGCTGCAAATGTTTGGTGCACACTACATTATCAACAAAGGAGAGGCCAGGCACATGTGGTGGCCGTGTAGAAAGGCATTCTGGGACATCAAGAATACAGCTGAACCCCTTGTCCACTGGACTGGAGCTATCAAAGGACACAAAGTACTTCTAAGAATCTAGATTAACTTTTTTTCCCCCCAGATTCATTTTACTTCAAGGAGAAAAAGAAGAAAAAAAAAAAAACTAAAACAAAAATTTAAAACATGTCAATCGGGGCAATAATGGTACATACATTGCACATCATCATCCCCAAATGATTCACCCAGAGTACGGCATCTGCGTGCATTCAATTGTCTGAATAATGCCAGTACCAATCTTTCTCTTCAATGAACTCAGAGAAATCAGTAGTATAAATATGTGAACTATTTCATATATATATATATACACACATACATACATACATACATACATATACACACACACATACAGACCACATACATATGTTGAAACTACATTAACTTAAAATAGGTTAATGATTTAGGAGAGTTTGGGGATAATATGTGTACTCATTTCTTTTCTTCCCTTTTCTATTATTGATAACACTACACAGTTCAGGTTAGCCTTGAACTCACTGTGTGGCCCAGGATGGCTTCAAACTTGAGGTGATCTTTCTGCCTCAGCCCCGTGTGTGCGGGGATTACAGGTGTGTGCCACCATTATTCATTTCTTAAAGGGAACAAAATGTTTCTTCTTTGACAACTTTAGGGCTGCTTAATTTCTGTAACATTCTGAACATATGCAAGGAAGCACGCTGAAGATCCTATGCGTGGACAAAAGAATTTAGAGCCCATCGGGCATCCAGTGGGATTTAAGCCAACTCATAAAGATCCTTTTGGACAAGAAAAACAAGTGGAAAGGAACAAAGGAATTCTGCCAAGAGGAACCATCGAAGTTGGCCAGATGTTCTTGCCTGACAACCTCCTTGTCAGTTTTCTCTACAGCCAAGGCATGTGTTATATTCTGAGAGGGTTGTGAAGATGGACGATTTGGTTAGGGGTTCTCCAGTGCTCAGAGAAGAAGGTAAAAAATATGGGGAAGAAAGTGGTTTTTCTCAAATCTTTTGTTCCTTGGCTGTCTATTCAAAGTAAGTACAGAGCCAGGTGTGGTGGTACCTCTAATCCTAGCACTCAGGAGGCTGGGGCAGGAGAACTGCTGAGAGTTTGAGGCCAGTCTACACTATGTAGGCAGCCCTGTCTTAAATAACCAAAAAGCAAAACAAAACAAAAGTAAAATAAAAATAGATTTTAAAAATTTATTTTCAGGTTATCTATGTAACATATTTTTGCCAGTGGGTCTTGTTAAAAAATAAAAAGGTTATAAAGGAAATACTTTCTTATTATAAGATATGTGCAACACTATAAATAAAAGAAAACAAAATCATCCAAAATACCGCATCTCAGGGGTTACTAGGATTCTGAACTCTTTCTCTGGTGAAAGGACAGACAAAAGCCAGGATCAGCAGCCTCTCTTCTCCACAGTACTCAGGGCCAGTCAGGACAGGGACTGAGGAATGTGCAAGTAACCTGTCACTGAGTACTTCCTGCCTGCTGCATAGTGCTTTACATATACCGACTTAGTGACATCTCAGTCACTGCTATGCCCCACTGTACAAGTGGGGCCCAGCAATCTGTTGCCAAAGCCATCTACTACCAAGCACCCAAAGTCGTTCAAATTCAGCCTGACAACAGAGCCTGTGCTCTTAACTGAACTCTACTAGGTCCTAGAAGCCCTTTCCTCTCAGTCTCCTAAGTGTGTTAAAATGCTGGAGGCTAGATTGCATTTTCTAGTAGATTTTTTTTTTTTTTGTACCTAGGATTGAATCTACAACTTTGTGCTTACCAGACAAGTGCTGGAGCCGCTGAGCTAAATCCCTGGCCTCTGTTTCTTAAGTGAATGGCGTATTTGGGGTGGGCCACAGGACAGCAACATGCTCAAAATTGGAGGCCTAGAGCCTCGGCTGAGACTGAGCTAATCTATTACAACCTGAAATCCTCTACTCCTTTGGCTTACATGTCCTTTACCAGACTTTCTCAGAGGAGAGGCCATTTGTCACACTCTACAAAGAAAGAAACAATTAGGAAACCTGGTTCCCTGGGTGGAAATAAAACCCCTGATTAGAAGGCGGAGCAGGCCTAGCTGTTTCTGGTCCCCCCCTGCAGCAGGGCTTCGCGATCCCAGCTAACCGTCCTGAGAAGCATACAGGCAGCCACCAGGGGGCAGACTACACTGAGGAAAAGCTCATCTGGGTCAACTTGTTTAGGGACTTCAGCATTTCTGGTCAAAATGTCAGAAATGAGGTTGAACCAGAACAGGGAAACATCCCCTGTGGCCTGAGAAGAACTAAGAGGGCAAAGTGGCAGCTCTAAGTCACTTAGTGGCTGACCTGGTCTCTGAGCGACCGAACCCACTGAGGTTCCCAATCCTTTTCAATCAGCAGCCCAGGCGAGCCTCCTGACAGCCCTTGCAACCAGGCTGGACTAGGCCCGGCAGGGAGGTTTAGTATCACCACTCTCCTCTCTGTGGACTCTGGCAGTAAGAGATTCAGGCAAAGAGGCAGAGCTAGGAAATGCCACTTATAGTATTTATCACTTAGGGAACTCAGGAGTGTAATAACTAATAAAACCAGGAACAAAACTCAAGAGGGAAAGAAAGCCAATTTTTGTGGTTTGGACCATAAGCTAACACATTACAGCCCTGGCCCTAAACTGGCACGTAACTGTTTTCACAAAGACAGAACACAGCCAGGCCCAAGTCCAGGGCCACTTTTGTAAGACACCAGTACAGTGGGCAGTAGCGCCAGAGATCTGTACCCCTAGACAGAAAGTGTCTGCCAACCTTTGTAGCTCAGTGAGAAGTCTCACTGTGAAATACATCAACTAGCACATTCAGAGTGGAACCCACACGATCCATGTTCCTTTTACTCTGCTACCACATACAGGGGTGGGTAGAGAACTCCACGCAGCATGACTACACCAGCAGCTTCCTCAGGGACATTCAGGAAAGGGCCATGTCTCATCAGGCCGAGGCTGAAGCAAAGGATTTTTCTAATGGACCTTGAAAAGCTGATCACCACAACCCTGCACACCATTTTAAGGGGTTAAATGAACAATGCCAGACAGAATCCATGTTACTTCTCTCCCTCACACATGGGGATAGTGAGCAGATGAAAGAGTTTAGATACAGACATCTTACTTTGAAACGCATTCCTTTCCGCTGGCCTTTGTCCAGTTTTGGCTTTTCCACATAGAGAGGGTTTTTGAGCAGAGTTTGAGCTTTGGGTTCAAACTGTACAGACCAATCCCACACGGTGAGCAGATTCAAAGGCTTGCTTTGTGTATACAGGCTTTCCCTACCCTGCCAAGAAAAGCACAGGTCACCATGGCTTCTAGGGAGGGCTCAGGAAAGCAAACACATCTTCTTAAGGTGCTCCGCCTGCCTGGAGACTGAGCGCTCACAGCACCTCACCCTGCAAGGCCAAAACTCAGTGGTTATTCACCAACACCTCCTGGTGGAGCGGGGGCGGCGTGGTGTTGGAGAGAAGAAAGATACTTATTTTTAGTGGACCACTAAAATGTCAGCCACCTGGCTGGGCAGTTTCACAACAACTTTGTGAGATAACTCATGAGTCAACTATCTTTCCAACTTTACAACTGAGGTAACTGAGGCTCAGAAGACTGAAGTAAACTGCTTGAGGCCACAAAGCCAGTGAGTTGCAGAGCTGGGGATGGAAACAAAGGCTAACTCAGAAGTTTGGGTTTAGTCATTCCCACTTGACCCTGGGACTTGGTAATCCTACTAGCTCAAGCTAGCAGAGGCCAGGAAAGGGGTGGTCAGAGACACCGAGATTAGCTTACAAAGTTAACTGGCTACAGTGTAGCCTCGAGAGGGGCTCTAAGATGTGAGTCAAGCCTGGTTTTCCTATTTTGTCTGCTGTCTTGTCCTAAGAGTAACTCCAGGCTTCAAACTGAGGGACAAGGACAGCTTCTAGCTGGAAAGTGATGTACACCTGTAATACTGTAATACTAGCTGCCTGTGAGGCTAAGGCGAGATTGCAAGTTTAAGTCTAGCCTGAGACTTTATATCAAAAGGGGATGGAGTGGGGGTGGAGATACATCTCTGTGTAAAGCATTTGTCTAGCCTGTGCAAAGTACTGGATTCAATCTCCAGTGTCACGGGATATGGTGGGGGTTAATTTGGCTTAAATCTCTACTCTAGTACTTGATTCCAACTTAGATATTTACTATATGACCTTAGGCTGATTACTTATTCTTTGTGCCTCAGCTTCGTCAGGGGTAATAATACATAAGTGATAGGTAACTGTAAGGATTAAATACCTTTCCAGGTACAAAAACCTGGGAACCACTTAGTCCAGTACCTGGTATATAGTTAGAGTTAAATAAATAACATTTTAAGCACCAATCTCATTGCATTCTACTTGTGAAACACAAGTTCTTCAGTAAAGATTTCTAGGAGGGGCTCTTACCATGTTAGTATCTTTTTGATGAGGTGAGTTGAAGAAGAAGGTACTGAAAATAGGTATATACAGGCTATCTGACAAAACAGTCAGGTAAGTCTCGGTGAACTCAAATGCTGGGGGGTGCTGGTGCACGAGCTGCCAGACACAATCTAAGAAAAGCAGGAACACAGGAACCTACGTGAAAACAAGATATGTGTTATTTGGCAGCACGGAGCCCAAGATGAGCTGTCCTAAACTCGGGGACAGCCTCTCAGGAGCTGTGGAGTAACCACTTCTGAGTCCTATGTTCTCTGGGTAACACAGTACACTCCCAAGGGGAGCATGCCTGTATTCCCAGAACTCTGGGAGGCTGAGGTAGGACTGAATTTAAGCCCAGACTGGGAAACTTAACAAGAGCCTGTCTCAAAAGTTAAAAAACAAAAAACCAGTGGGGTAGATGTCTTCTTACCATGTATAAGGGCCCTGGGTTCAATCCCCAGCACCACCGTAGGTCAATGTGGGGCTAGGGAGAGGGGCAGAGCTGGGAATATAGCCTAGTGAGGAGGCCCTGGCCTGGGTTCAGACTCTGTGGGGGGAGGTGTCAATCCGGGAGTGGACTAAACATTAACTCTTCCATGCCTCATCTCAGAGGCCCACCTGGACCGAGTCCATTCACAGAAGCAAGAAGGGGCTAAGGCACAACCCATGCATGTTGCTGCAATACACGGCCTTCTCGCAGATCATTCAGAAGAGAAGACTCTGACCATACCTGTTAATATTTTTCCCCCCAGGAAGGGTTTCACTGTTTTTCAGAGCATTCAAACTTACCACGCAATGAGTCTGAACAGCCTGCACTTTGTGAGCAGAAACCCTACATCTGAAGGCAGGTCCCAGTGAGGGACTGAGTAGCTCTCCCACTGACTGCAAGGTCTGTGCAGAGGGAATTTACCTCCTCTTTGTCACTCTGGCGGAGATGGTTGCAGCGATCCAAGAAACAGTGGCCACCCATAACCCACTCCTTTTGAATGAGGCTCTGGAAGCCAGTTCGGGTTCGACAGTGCGGGTCCATCATCACTTGCACCAGAGAAGAGAGGAGGCAGCAGAGGTCAGAGGCATTCTCCTCTAGCAGGGTCCCAGCAGCAACAGAAAGAGAGAAAGTGTTAAAGAGCTGCGGTGCTCTCACCTGCGTAATTTAAAGTAGGTTCCTACCACTATGGCTTCCTACTACTGGCCAATCTCTTATTGCCCACAGGTTAGGGCCCATGACAAGAAAAGGGTGGCACTTTCACAGGAGATAAGCTTCTAACTTGTGTAGTACAGGCATTAGCACACACTGGTGCTAAAGATGGCTTTGCTCACTAAATAAATGCAGCACTGAAAAGGTGCTTTCGGCAGACGGGCACTCACACACGTGCCATGTAACAAAGTGGAGTCACCACAGTGATGACCCAACAGGCTGAGCGTCCACAGTCCTACCCTCCTGGGGTCAAAGCCTCAACTACTTAAATGGTTCCAGGCCTCAGCTGCTTCTCACAATCACCCCAGTGCTCCTTTCCTCCATTTCTAAATCCTGCACTAATTCTGCTGTGTGGAAAGTTTTTTATCTCTTTTTAATTACTTACTTACTGTCTTTCTTTCTTTCCTCTTCTTTTTTTTTTTTTTTTTTTTTTTTTTGTCTAGACAGATCAGGTTGGCCTTAAACTCACTTTATATCCCAGGCTGGTCTTGAACTTGCAACGATCCTCCTGCCTCAGCCTACCAATTGCTGGGATTACAGGCATGCACATCATACCTAGCTAACTTTCTTATTTCTGAATTACACCAAAATGATCTTATTCTTGGCCCTAGGGCTCCTTCCTTTTCTGTGTGAGGATGAGAGGCACCTGCTTCTCCGTGCCTATCCTAGAGGAGAATTTCTCCTTGGCCCATTTCCAGTGCCCACATGGAGTACACTTGATGATTGTCCATTGACATATTTGTTAACATTCCTAATGTACAGCAAATAAATGTACACACATTTGCAACCATGCATTTGTGTTAGAACTTTAAGATACTAAAAGGGAGATCTAAGTTCCCTATCATTTTCTTTTAGGAAATAAAGAAAGAAAAAAACAAACAAAGGAGGGAGGGAAGGAAATACAACTCAAACTATTTTTTTAAAACATCCCCAAGTAGGGGCTGGGGATTTAGCTCAGCAGCATAAGCGCCTGCCTTGCAAGCAGGCAGTCGTGAGTTCGATCCCTGGTACCGGAAAAAAAATAAAAATAAAAAAACAATAAAACATCCCCAAGCAAGATGGTGCTAATATTATTAGAGTGAGTAAAATTTAAGAATGAACCTTAGGGCCAGGCTTGGCAGCTCACACCTATACTTCCAGCACTCTGGAGGCAGGAAGATCACTGGGAGTTCAAGACCAGGTTACAAAGTGAGCTCAAGGCCAGCCTGAACTGCATAGTGAGACCCTGTCTCAAATAAGACCTCCCCCCCCCAAAAGAGAAAGAAAAATGAGCCTTAGAAAGGTGACCATACGATTAGAATTCTTTCATTCTGACCTATAGGGAAACACAGATTTCACAGAAACAGATTTTTATATTTCTCTTCTAGTGTTGTCAGTTTTCAAAATAAGTTTCATTTTTAGAGAAATCTTTGTCACACCCGATGGATGTCATAGTTCACCTCTGGTGACAGGATGAGAGACCAGAAAGTAAGATTTCAAGAGAGACAACTCAGAAGTCCATCCAGGAGTGAGAGGCATCTCACTTCACCAGCCAAAGATTCAGCTTTCACTGTGTCTGATTAGTGCAGCCTGGCCCTGGGTCCTTTCCTCTTTTGGATCTCTAATATTCATCCCTCACCTCTTTAGGTCATCACAAATACTTCTCTTAAGGCAACTCTCCCACTAGACTGCAAACTTCTAGAAAGCAGGTACATTGAGCTCTGCACATAACAGGTACTCCAAGAATGTATCCAACTCTTAGCAAGCCAGGAGCAAGAAGTCCAGAAGCTGCTGGGGATACATTTTCCAGCTTTGCTCTTTGATACTAAGTTCCAACTGTCAAGGTAAGCATCAGAAGAATGATAAAAGCTTGGGGGTATAAAAGAAGACAATCTGCTTAATTTTTGTTGTTGTTATTGTTGTTTTGAGAAAAGATCTCTCTGTGTAGTTCAGGCTGCCCCTGAACTCACTATATATCCCAGGCTGGCCCTGAACTGTGTAGCACAGGCTGGCCTCAAACTCCTGGCAATCCTCCTGCCTCAGTCTCCTGAGTGCTGGGAATACAGGCATGTGCCACCACACTTGGCTTTTTTTTTTTTTTTTTTTTTTTTTGGTGTGTGTGCGTAAGTTGTAATGTGGGATTTTAACATAGTCTAAAAAGGATTTTAACACAGTCTAAGTTATTTGGGGAGCTGAGGTAGGAGGATCACAGTAAGATCACAGTAAGATCCTTAAAAAACAAAAAACTAAGCAGCAGAGGATACTTTAGCTCATATTTAACCAGTTACAGATGAGCTGATTTACACTTGCTTTACACATTCATAATATTTATATCACTGCCCTCGTGTACAGCAAATTAAGCTCACAGAGGAAAAGGAAATCGAAGACCACTGCTGCACAAAGTTGCCAACACAGATGTAAAGAATTAAGCCATCCATGAGTCTCTTTAAGTGAAAGCGATTACCAAATGTTATAACTTTAACCTAGTTGGTTAATAAACAAAATTCAAAACATTAAAAAATGTGAGCTTTTTAAAAAAAAAGTGATCTATGGTAACCATACAATTTCTCCTTGGGCTGTGAACAGGCTGCCAAGTTCCAAGTGAAAGAATTTTATCCTGAGCTAACACACTAAACTCCAGGGCAAGGATTTCCAAGGGTAAGAAGGAAGCAAGGGGCAGCATCTCTACACCAGTCTGTTCCCTTTATGAGACAATTCAGATCCATTAAGCTACACATACAAAAGAATGCCTCTCAAGGGAAAGAAAAGGGAAACCACTCTTCATGCTTTAAATATATTACCTAAAAGAAGAATGTTCATATTTTGTGCTTCCATGCATTCTGTGATCTCTATTGCTTTTTTCAGGCAACGTCTAAATAAAAAAAGAGGTAAGAAGCAGAAGCATTAGTTATTGAGCTAAGTTGGAACCATAAACAGTAAGTACTTCAGAGGTATTCTGAATTGTTTTAGTTTTCTAATTTTTTAATACAAAAATCATCCAGAAAATAAAATAATTACGGCCTATGTTGTTCACTTATCAGTTTACTCATATGCCTATCAGAAACTGATTCTGGGTGTATGGTACATCCAAAAGGACCAAACCAGTATCTCAGATACCCATCTTTCCATATTCACTCAAGTACTATTCACAACAGCCATATTCACAAGTACTATTCACAAGTACTATTCACAACAAGACAGGGACAACCAAAGAGTTCACTAACAAATTAATGTATAAGGACAATAGTGTGTGTAAGATGGAATATCATTCAGCAATTAAAAACATAAAACGTTAAAAACATTAAAAACAAAATCCACCCTTGCAGCAACAATGGATAAACCTGGAGGAAATATGTTAAGTGAAAAGAAGCCAGGTACAGAAAGACAAATGCTGCATGATGTCCCTTACATGTAACACAGGACATGTTACATAATGGAGTAGAATGGTGGTTCCCAAGGGAGAAAGAATTGAGATAGCGGGGAGACACCGAGCAAAAGATGCAAACTTTCAGTTTTAAGTGCCCCAGCTTTGGAGACCTAAGGTACAGCAAGGACAGTAATGGATGTGTGGATTTTTCCTAAGGTAATCACCACATAATCTGTAAGTACACTGATCACTGCACTGTGTACCTTGCCCAGGGGTGGAGCTCAGGGGCAGAGCAGTTGCTCAGCATGTGTGAGGTGCTGGGTTAGAACCCCAGGACCGTGAACAAACAAGCAGTGTGTATCCTGAATATATACAATCTTTGCTAATTCAGTGTTCAAAAAAACCAACTAAACAAATAAAATTAGAAACATGAATAGTTTCAGAAGAGAACACCAAAACTGATATAAAAAATATTCGTAGGTAGCTGGGTGAGGTGGCACACACCCGTGACACCACTGCCCTGGGAGGCGTAGGCAGGATCCAGGCTCAAGCCCAGCCTCCACAGTTCAGCGAGACCCTACCTCAAAATAAAAAAGGGCCGACGATGGAGCTCAGCATGAAGCCGGTTCAATCCCCGGACAGACAGACACACACGCAATCTCACATACACACCCCTCTCCTAGGTGATCTCTAAACTTATCCTTACCGAAAGGTCCTACCTATGCCTGCAAGCGAGTCCAGGGGGACCCGTAAATGCCCATTCCTTGGAGAATGTGTCCCTGTCCACATTTAGTCACAGTGGTCAGCTAAAGGCATCAGTGCGGCTGAAATGACCCAATCTACTAAGCAATCCCTTTTGCTCGTTTCTACCTGTGTTACTCCTTGTCACTCTGTGGCCACTCTTCAGAGTATGGCAGCTCAGACTTGTCCCTCTTCTTATGTTGTCCTCGTGTTGCCCGCTCTACTCCTGCTCTCCAGCAGCCCCGTTCCCCACTGCTCAACCCTTTACTTGGTTAGGGGTTTACTCCTCACTGCCTGCCCTGCATAATGCTGACCACTGTTGACATTACACACTGAAATGTGGGGTACACACAGCCCATGGAAAGCCTAGTGGCTGCATGTGTGGAGGGTTAGAGCCCCTTCTCGCACCAGTCACCCAGAACTGAGAAAGAGCACCATGTGAGGGGACAAAGCCTGCACTTGCAACTATTCTCTCACGCTTGCTCACCATTTGTTTCGCATTTTGCTTTGTCATAGGCTCTATTTAATGGCAATGGAGAGGAGCTATTCAATACATTAATTAGGAAAGATAATGAACTGGTCTGTGGACTCTCAACCTAACTCCAAAACCAAAAATGGCTAATTAACATTAGGCATGATTTCTTAAAATTATGCACAAGGCCCTGTGTTCAATCTTCAGTATGCCCCAACACAATAATACATAATACACGTATAAGACACAACATTCAAAAAGGCATTGAGTGGAAAGCTAGTAGTCTGCTCATTCTCATTTTCTCCTGGAAGCCAGCACTGCTGCCTTAACTATAATTTTGGGATGCCATGCACTTTCCTGCAGGCTTTCAAAGTCTTGTCTGTAGAGTGCACTTCTTTGTAAGCAGGTAGCATGCTGGTACATTTCTATCCAATGAGCACAGAAATGATTATCAAGTGTGAAATCCAGCAAAGCCCTGACATAGAATATATGATCAAGAATATTTAAATGAGGGGCCAGGCATGGTGGTGCACACCTGTAATCCCAGCACGCCAGACGCTGAGGCAAGAGGACTGCCAATAGTTCCAGGCCAGCCTGGACTACATAGTGAATTCAAAGACAACCTGGACTACACAGTGAGACTCTGTCTCAAAAAAAATAAAACAGGGCCAGGGTTTGGCTCAGCAGCATAAGTGCCTGCTTGGCAAACGCAAGGTCTTGAGTTCAACCCCTAGTACCAAAAAAAAAAAAAAAAATTAAATACATAAATAAAAATAAAAACAAACAAAAAAACTCCGAATATTTAAATGTCAGTTATCAAAATTAAGTTATATATCAATTAATACTACTCTGAATCAGATAACTGTATAATTCATAAGCAAAACAATAGTTTAGATACCTGATTATGTCAAGCCAGCTGCTACTTTCCAAGAGAGAAAACCATTTTATATCTGTGTCCCAAAATTCAGTGCTGTTATCTGAAAAAAGGAAAAAGAAGAGATGAGATGTCAGGTCATCGTTCACATGCCTGCCACAAAATACCTGTGCTGCTCCAATCAGCAGTCCTAGACTCAGCCTGCAGAACCCACACAGAAGACTCCACTTAAGTAAAGAGCATTTCTTTCTTTCTTTCTTTTTTTTTTTTTGTGGTCCTGGGGATTAAACTCACGACCTAGCACTTGCCAGGCAGGCACTCATGTTGCTGTGCTAAATCCTCAGCCCAGTAAAGAGCATTTCAAACTTCAACAGAAAGTTTGAATTGTCCTCTAGAAGGGTATGTTGCTCGAAAAGAGATCTTCATTGCTGAGCTAAGAAATATCTTCTGCACACGCACACATAAAGCCTTGTCTATGCTGTAATTCATCAAAGACAGTAACATATCAGGTGGAAATAGTTAACAACAAGGATATTACTGCCATCGAAGCTTAACTGAGGCTTGATTTTGTCCATAGCTTTGGGAGCAGAAGACCAATTTATTGATGAACTATTAATTTTATTTTTATGAGTTTTATTAAAGAATGAGTAACAGGAAAAATAACAAAAGTACAGTATTGTATTTTTAATATTTGAAAGTTTATAAACAGTATCAAAATTTTCAACACTGATTGGTATGGGTGTACAAAGTCTAAAAAAGAACATCAGAAATAAATTCCCACTTGAACTACAATGAAAACACCAAAAGCACTTGCCAAAAAAGTAATCCTTACTTCCATTATCACACCTAAGGAAGTCTCCTGCCTGACAACAGCACACACACACATCACTTACACTGACAGCACATGTGTTTTGCTTTCTTGGTCTTTTTGTAGGACATACTTGAAATCTTAGTGGTCTTGTCGTTTTGGCAGGAGGTTCTTATTGTATTACATAGTGTGCAGTTAACAGGAACATAAGATCAATAAAATGGAGTATTCAACTCTTAATATGTATTATACATTTAGAATAGACATCAACATTTTCAAATCAGCTGTGTTCTGGCTTATAAAAATCCAAAGATAACATCAAAAATAAATTCCTATGTGAACTGCAATAAAAGTACCAGTAGAACTCTACCACACAAACACGCTTTGCTCCAACTGCCACACCCACGGCAGTCTTCACACATGACAGCTGCAGCTCCATACACACATATGGCCTATACTGACAGCACATGTGCATAGCTTTCCTTTCCCCATGGCAGTCTTGTCATCTCTCCTCTCTTCCTGTTTTGTCAGGAGCTTCCTACTATATTGTACAACATGCACTCAGAGGGGGGAAAAATGTCAATAAAGTATCAAATATGTAATGAATGAGGCTGGTGATTTAGCTCAGCAGGACAAGCACCTGCCTCGCAAGCATGAGGTCAGGAGTTCCATCCCCGGTACCAAAAAAAAAAGAAAGTAATGAGTGTTTAGAATAGACATCAACATTTTCACATTAGCTTTTTACTTGCTTACAAAACCTAAAACATTAAAAAATAAAAAGCTATGTGAACTACAGTGTAAACATAAACAAAAGTCTACCACAGAAATAAGTTTTGCTTTAACTGTCACACCCAACACAGTGTTCACACAACAAATTTGTAATCTTTGCACGAGTGTTGCTTACACTGATTACACATACGTTTTTGTTTTCCTGTACTTTCCTGGAAGGCACAGTTGACATCTTTCTTATTTTCATAATAGGCCCCTGTGATGCTGTGCCTGCCTGACACCTGTCAGCTTACCAGTGTGCTCTGCAATTTTTTGCATAGTTCTCTGGGCAGAAACAATTTGTTTTTCCTCTGCTCTAAATGTACTCTTTCTTATGATCTCATCCCAATCCCCTAAGAAAATTTCTCCATATTTTGCACTTGTTATTTTCTTTGTAAACTATCAAACTGTTCACGCCACACATGTTTAGGATTGAGTTCAACACAACCATTGACCAATGCTTTGTGTTTCAGGTGTCATCATTGTTGCTGCATAACTCATCAACATCTATTCCACCTTCGGTTTTGGTGTTGAAGGTTTCCATCTCAGGCTTTGTTTTGTCGTGGTTTCCCTATCAATATTTCCATCCTGGTGAATGCTGACGTCAGCAGTACCAGTTTGCCTTTCTTTGCCATATAACAGGCCAGTGTTGTATCTTTCTGAAATTCAGTACTATACAATCTTTTGTTCTGAAGTTGCAACATTTCATTTGGAATTTCTGCTTTGTTCCTGTGTAAGGTTCCTGCACTGATCTACTGTGCTCTGTTAGCAAATGTAACATCAGTTGGAAACAGTAAACCAACTGTCGAATATTATATTCCAATTAATTTGGGAGCTGAGAACAACAAGTCTGTTCACAGACATCAATTCGTTTATTACTAATCAAACACGGACCCGAAGGCTGAGCTCCAGGATAAATGTCCCAACTGAATGCATAATACATCTTCACATCCTAAGGGCAAAAACTCTGATGCCATATTTTGACTCATTTCTTTTCTGTAAATATTTTACATTCCTGTAATCACCATAAGAAATCTGTGCTAACCTATGAATACTTTTAGTTCAGTTAGTGAGATGTCATAATAAATACATTTTTAAATTTGGCTATTGGTACATACAAAACATTTTACTTGTATTTCAATCTTTGCATATTTCACAGTACCTTGAAGTATTTCGGCAGTTCAGTATTTTCCAATACGAATGGCAGTACTGAAATTCTGACCAATATGTTTTACCCTTGCCAAGAACTTTAGTATATTTCTGGACCTGGTTCTAACACTAGGTCGTTCCATTTGGTTATATGGCCATTTGCAACATCTCAGCTAGTCAAATATGCACTCACATTGCTGTTTCTGTTTACTTTGTCATCAAACTAAGGAGGTCTGCATTTCCTGTGTGTCTGAATCAGTCAATTCTTGTTTCATTTCACTGTCACAGGAACTTTGGCTCACATAACCAATGTCAAAGTCATCATCATCACTGTCACCATACAGACACCCCACTCTTCTGTTATGAAAGCATGTATTGTACCATAATGGATCACTTTCATCATTCATGCACGAGTAATCTAGATGATGATTCACTTTTAGTTTTTCTTTTTTTGAGACATCGTCTTGCTGTATGTTCAGCCTAGCCTTGAATTCAATGTGTAGCCCAGGCTGGCCCTCAACTCACAGCAAGGGCTTGCCTCTGTCTCCCAAGTGCTGTGTAACCATACTCAGCTTTGACAATTCACTTTTGACTTCCTCCAAAACTTAGAAATCTGGTTTTCATGTGACACTGTACTGAATGGGCTACTTCTACCAGAAAAATAAAAAGAAACTTATTTTTAACAAATTTGGGGATGGTATGGGTCCTCTGTGATGCTCGGGTAAACAAACACAAAACCAGTTTAGACAAGCATAAATGTGGGTCCAAATTCCGTTCTGCCATTTTTGCACATACACACTCCTTGACATTTGTTATTCCAAGTGGGTAAACATGTAGATTGCTTCCTGTATCCCGCAGGGAAAGGTACTGAAATGCACAGCCAACTACTATAATGACAAAACTACAAATTTACAGTAGAAAAGTAAGGGGTAGGTCTGCTGGACCCAAGATTAGAAACACAACTTCATGTACCTTGTACACCACAACAAGATTTCCCTATACATATCTTACAGGACAAAGAACCTTCAATTTTACAGAAATCTAATACTATACATTTAAAAATTGCAAAAACAAATGAATAAAAGGAAGATAGCCTTCGAAATGCTGGGAGATTAAAAAGAAACTGTAGAACTGCAGCCCTGGATCAAACCGTAACAGGATTTTTCTTCCAGGATCCTACTTCCGAAGAATCTATTTTATAACATATATCACAACATGTTTTAGTTAGAGGCACATGCTTCTGTTTGCCTTGCGAGAGCATAAACTCTCTGTATCATGCTCATCCTTATTACAATGCTGAGCACATACGCAATGGAAATTCAAGAAAGATCAGTAGAATGAATCTTAAAATAGTTAAAGAATTTTCTGGGCTACAAAGTTACCTTCAAGGGTGACAAAACTCAGAAAGCAGACTCAAAAATGGAGAGAATCAATAGGCAACTGGGTCTGTCCCAAATGAGTAAATTCTACATTTTCACTAGTAGTAGGCAGCAAGGGCAGGAAATGAGAGAGTAGCAGGTGCTAGAACAGGAGTATTTCATTTTCTACTTATATATTTCTTGTTAATTCAATTCTTTTTCACTGTAAGAAATGAGACATGCCCACCCGGAAAAAAATTAAGTAATTTCCACTTTGGAAAAAAGGCATACCAAGAAAGGAAGATAAAGTCATTTACCTTATAAATGATTAATCAAGTCAGTGTCTACAGGTATTGCATAGTTCAAACCAAAAAGAGAAGTCAAAATGCTCACCAATGAGCAATCTGGAATGCTGGGAAAGAAGAAAAGAGGATGGCTGTGTGATCACTACCCTAGTAAGGAGATCACAGTGAAAAGCCTAGAGAAGGGAGTATGTGAATGCTAGCTGGCCTTACAGCCACCACACAACAGTGACCCTCGAGGCTGTGAGCCCCTGCTTACCACCAACCCAGAGAAAAGGCACCAACTTTCACCTGATCCATGCAGCATGTCTTTGCCCATTTGACAGAAAGTTTTTGCTCAGCATTCTTCTCACCTATCAGAAACAGCTGTTTAAATTTACAGTATGCAGTCTGGATTTCCTGCAGGGATAGGAAGTTGCTTGACAAGTCTTCGGTTCTAACAATTTCATAAGGTGGCCTGTGGATGGTCTTGTAAATTCTAAGTATCAAAAAGTAACATGAGATTAAAAGACCAAACATGAATTTAAAATAGCTTACTTTCCCTAAGCACTTACTACTAATAGTCTATGCTAAGAGCTCTCCCCACAATGTCCCCTCTGCCCTACCACCACTTAATCCACATCAATGAGTCAACAGCTGCTGGACCACTGTCCCCAGTCTATTGGTATGGTAATGGAGGTCACAGAGTCGACCCATCCAGCCCATGGTTAGTAAGTTGTTAGAAATTGTGATTGTGGCCAACTCAATTAACCTACCCTTTTGCTCTTTTTCACTTATTCATTTGCATTTTTAAGTTTTATTTTGATAGTTTCAACATGTAGAAAAGTAGTATACTACAGTGATATACATCAGAGCCTAGATTTGACAGCAATTAATATTACCGACATCATGTTATTGCCCCTAAATACTTCAGCATGCACCTCTAGAACCATTGACATTCTTACAATTGTTATACTGTCTCTTGGCAAAGCAAAAATCACAGAATCTGAGTGCCTGAGATAGGAGGATCCTAAGATCAAGGTTAGCCTAGACTACATAGTGAGACTGTCTCGAAAGTCAAACACATGAAAAGAAGTAAGACACACTGGTAAGAGCGCTGGCTACTTAGTAAACAGGAACTGAACTACCTAACAAATTGTAGAATTAATACTCACCCATCCAAGAAGCTCTTCTGCATCTGTAAAATGCCATCATCCTGTTCTTTGGGCAGTGCTGACATTTTCAAAAGAGCACTTCCATTGTGGCAGGACCAACACCATATCTAGAGAAGAAAAACCACTTGCTAGGTGGAATATTCACAACCAGATAGCCAGTAATCTTAGCATTCAAGTTCAGACAGGGAAATTCATAATTTCAATATGAAATGGCTGAGTATACTCAGCTTTATTAAGCCTGGTAGAATTTACTTAATAAAACACCAGACTGATTTAGTCTGAGGGTTTTTTTTTTTGTTCCTTTAAAAAAATTTTTAGGGCCAGAGATATAGCTCAGCAGCACAGTGCCTGCCTGGCAAGTGCAAGATCCTGAGTTTGATTTCTGGTACCTCCCCAAAAAACTTATCTCCCCCCCAATTCTTTTAGTATATTTATTACGTTCATTGTACAGAACTGGTGTGTGCACATAACACCTCAATTCTTTTCTTCCCCTTCCCTCTCTCCCCCTTTTACTTTCCCAGTATCAGATTATTTAGCTTACAGATCCTTAGAAAGTTAACTGTCATATATATAGATTAACAACCAGACTAAGAGGGCAAAAAACACATAAGATGATTATATTAAATCAAGTTACATTTTTAGATACATGGTCCATGCTGGACAGCAATAACGTTTTTGCTCTCCTGTTTTCCTCTTACCTATTTTTTCCTTGCCATTTTATTTATATATTGAATTTTTCATGTAAGACAAACCATGTGCTATTTAAGCTTGTTTTGTTTTTTTGGGAGGAACTGGGAGTTGAACTCACGACTTCGCACTTGCCAGGTAGGTACTTATGCCGCTGAGCTAAATCCTTGGACCAAGCTTGTATTTCTAATTTACTTAACATTATGGTCTTAAACTGCATCCATTTTCCTACAAATGACTTGTTTATCATTCCTTATGGCAGAGTGTGACTTACTCTTAAAAAACAAAAACAGGACTAGGACTAGGCAGCCAGACTCCAACTTTCTTATGGTTTAACTTTGACTTAACTCCAGTGCTGATAACCTAGATGATCAAAACAGCATTATTACTATTATTAGGACACTAGTGATTACTGGAGTGCAGCTCACATGTCAGGTGTGAATTAACTCATTAATGTGCAGTTCTTTCTCTGTGGTACATAATGATTATTATTCCCATTTACAGCAAGAAACTGAGGTTCAAAGAGCCCAAAGGACTTCCCCAAGCAGCTGCAGTCTGACCCTCAAGGTTGCGCTCTACTAGATGGCAGCAGGCAGTGGGCAGCTCCCATCCTCAGACAGCTCACACCACGAAGAATGGGCTGAATCTAAGACTCACACGTAGAAGGCAGTGCAGAGGCTGCTAAAGGCATTAAGAGGATGAAGATGCTATTCCACCTCTAGAGCTTATACTCTCAAAATATAATAGATGGTGGAATGTGGTAGATGATAGGATTTCAAGAAAAAACAAAGTGAGGGCAAAGGATGCAGACATCCTGTAAGTGACCACAGATGACAGGCTAAGGTCTTTCAGCTTTTTTATAGACCCTGCGGGAGGTTTTATTTATTTTGCAGGCTCAAAGGAAGATAAACTGATTGTGGGGGCAAAGTAATCCTCCAGTGGAGCCTAGAATGGAGGAGAGGGAAAAGCTGGTTGGTCAAGGAAATTACCACTGTGCCTTCAGTGTCCTACATAACGGCTTTGCTAAGGGTTCAAGAGGTTGAACATCCGATCTTGGCTCTGCTGACCAAGCCATGGGCCCTGACTCGCTTCTAGGGGAACAGAGACTAGCACTTCCAGGGGCTCCTAGGAAACAGAGCGGAGTCAGCACTGGGTAGTGGTGCCTACTGCTGCTAGGACGTCCATGTGGAGAGACTCGGGGCCCCTAACATGAGGATTAACAAGGTAGAAGAGAAGGCAGGGCTGGTGTTCTGGACACAGGAGCGGATGGCCAGCTGATAGGGAACAGATGAGCCAAAGAGGAGAATGAGGACAGAGGACACAAAAGTGCCAAAAAGAACAACTCCCTCTGGGGACTCTGCCACACTTACAGGCTCATTCTAGGCAGAAGTGTTAGAACAGACAGCCGAAGGGCCCTTTACTGCTCTCCTCAGTCCCTTGTCTGACATCACGCTAAGCAATGAGTAGAAACCTCTTGTGAAGGTGGTAATACTTCAAACACTCAGTCATGTCCCCTAGTTGGTGCAGGTCACTTGGATATGGAGGTGAGCACTCTTAGCCATGACTGGATGGCAGCATTCAGGAAATTAAAGGTTCCTAATCTATCTTATTTCCCCTCCTGGGACAAAAATGATAGGCCTTCCTTGATTATTTTTTGTTTGCTTGTTTATTTTCAGACAGGATCCTGCTATACTGCTCAGGCTGTCCTTGAATTTACTATGTAGCCCAGCCTGGCCTCAAACTCATAGCAACTGATCCTCCCACCTCAGCTCCTGCATGCTGGAATTAGAGGTGTGCACCACCATGCCTGGCAAGGCCTTTGTTGATATCCAGTCCTATCCTGTACGTGTGTATTCTGGGACGTGTGTAAGGATAACTTCTACTCAGAAATGCCTCATCTGTCTGAAGCCTGAAGAGCAACTAACTTCCTTGCTATTCTTTATTTGAAACAGTAAATAGAAACCCAGCTGGGCGTGGCTCAGTCTAAATGCCCTGGGTTCCACCCCAAGTATCACAAAATATCAACAAATTAAACAGCTACATATGTGGATCAGTGCAAAGGCTGAGTTTAATCCTCAGTACCACAAACAAAAAAAGAAAGCAAAAGTCCTGGTTAGAGAGAGAATTCTCATAAGATTTAGCAAAAAAAGCTTTACCTATTGTTGCAATGCATCAATTTCCCTTTGGGAAAGAACCTCAGAGTTTTTAGTATAAATTACTTAACATCAGGCAACAAGTAGTCACTTTTTTTCTTTTTGAGACAAGGTCTCATCTTATATATATAGCACTGGCTGGCCTTGAATTCACTAGGTAGCCCAGGCTGACCTCAAACTCACAATCTTCCTTTATGAACCTCTCACATGCTGTGCTTACAGGCACGCACCACCACCTCCAGCAATCATATTTTTGAAAGGGGAAATTACTCATTTTGGAGTGCATTTTAAGGTGTCTCTATTAACAGAGTCAAAGACAGATTTTTAGGGGAATATCTATAATTAGAGGGCAGAAATTAGTTTAAGAAGGAAAAGAAGGCATTATAAGACCAAGACACTAGTGTTTCCAGAGCCAGCACAGGAATTTCAGAGATGAGAAGAGAGGAATGTAACCTGTGTGAAACACTGCAGGGAGTCACCAAGAGCCAGGCTGCCCAGGCTCGGCTAGGGCAATGCCCGAGGGGGTGGGGTGATGTGGGGTGGGGTGGGGGTGGGGCAGGTAGAAGTCCTCCTGCAGCAAGAAATAGGGGTGAGGAGTGCAGCTCAAGAGCAGGGCACGTGCTTAGTGTGGGTGAAGCTGTAGGTTGATCCTTGGAACCTCAAAAAAGAAAAAAATATGGAAGAAGAAATGAGTAGAGAAAGTAAGAATAGGCTCTCTGTACATTTAGCAGTACAGGGCAGGAGGACAGGTCAGTTAAGAAAGGGCTTCTGCAGGTTAGGGAAGTCCTAATGACGTCTTTTGAGAGAACACAGTTCAGAAACAATCGAAGAAGAGGAAAGGCTGATGGAAGCAGACTCCATACAAAGCAATCCAGACACAGGCAGGGATTCAGGTTTGACATAGAGGAAGCACGAGCACAGAAGGAAACAATAGGAGGCTGAGAAGGAAGCTGAGGGAGTTCTTGTTAAGTCCTGCATCCCACAGAAGCAGGGGAAAGGTGGTAGTGAGAATGATTTTACACACAGGGTGTAGTGGCACATGGCTGTAATTCTAGCACTAAGGAGACTGAGGCAGAAGGATCACCTGCAAGTTCAAGGCCAATCTGGGCTACACGGTAAGTTCAAAGTCAGCCTGAACTATATAGTAAGAACTGGTCTCAAAATTTAAAAATAAATAAATAAATAGGATATTACAAACTTTTTAAAGAGAATGAACGCGTGTTCACACAGAGCAGGGATGATACATGAACAAAATGAAGTTAAATTGTGCTGAGCAAGGCAAAGGCCCAGTTGAGGCAAGGAAACATTCAGTTTGCTTGGATCCCATGAAGTCCAGTCTGCTGTTTTGTTTAAGTTATAGCAATTTTCATTAGCCACAGAGCAAAAAAAGACACGGACTCCACAGAGGGACAAAGAGGCCAAACTCTCTAGCACGGCAGCCAGGAACTGCCTGAACTGAGACGTCATCACTACAGAGCAGGAAGCAAAGGCAGGAAGGGAGAGCGAAGCAAACAGGCAGAGCACAGGGCTACCGACCCAGCATCATCTGCATCCGGAACTCACTATGTAGCGTAGGCTAGCCAACTGACAGTGATCCTTCTGCCTCAGCCTCCTGAGTACTGGGATTACAGGCATGCGCCACCATGCCCTGCCCTAAGAATGCTTTCTACTCAGTCCCAAGACCTGGTTAAAATGTAGCATAACTAAGAAGCTGACAGGTCCTGGTGATGGAGAATCAGCCCATTGTCGCCTATGTGGACAATCCGCCTACTGTGTTCTTATAGAGCATGCCGTCTTTCTGACACTGTGTGAAGGGCTGAAGGACAGAGATTCTCATCCTCATTCTCTGAAAGCCCTGACTTTCAAAGTGTAGTGTATACACTGCCCTGGGAGGCCCCCAGACTCTTCGCAGTACAGTGACAATTTATCTTTTCCACTTTGCTGACATCCGCAGTGGAGGAGAAGTGATGATGGGGAAGAACTGCTAGAGGCTTAGAGCCACTCTACGTGAGCAGACCGTACTGCTCATCTCTTTGTGCTATGCTGTCTCTACCAGCAGCAAGAACCGGATTCCCTTGAGAATGTCCTTAACACAGGGCTAAATTGATTAGTTTTACACACTTTAACATTCTGTGAGGTGGAGTGGGAAGTAAACAGTGAAGTACAAAGCTTGCCTCCAGAACAGATCCTTGTACAGCTGCCTAGCTACCTTTTATGTAGAACTGAACAACTGACATACAAACTTCTGATATTCAGACTTTGGTACTGAAATTCATTCTAAAAAAAAGAAAGTGAGTTCATCACTTTATAGCAAGCAACTGATAGGGGCTGGGGATTTAGCTCAGCGGCATAAGCACCTGCCTTGCAAGCAGGCGGTCGTGAGTTCGATCCCCAGTACCGATAAAAAAAATATAAATAAATAAAATAAATAAATAAATAAATATTTTTTTTTAATTGGGGAAAAAAAAGAAAGCAACTGATAAATTGTTGACAATGACAAAACATTGAGCTTTCAAACTTCAGAGAACCATAGAAAACTAGTATATACCATGTTAGCTATTTCAAGGCTCATCTGATGAGATGATATTATGATTTTTTAATCTTATATAATCAACTGTGTTAATATTTAGAAGATCTGTATAACCTACAAATGCTTTTCAAATGGCCAGTGTATACCCTGGCCTCCATACTGGGGAATAATCCAGGACTCTGAACTGAGCTACACACCCACCTCTACTTTGGGACAGGATCTTGATAAACTGTACAAATTGGTCTGCAATCCTCCTGTCTCAGCTTTCCTAGTCCTGGGATTACCAGAGTGGATCATCAGTCAGATGTGGTGGTACATGGCTGTAATCCCAGCCAGGAAGCTGAGACAAGGGAATCACTATGAGTTTGAGATCAGTCTTGGTCACCTAATTAGAGCTTGTTGCAAAACAAAAACAAACCAAAAAACAAGAGTGGACTACCATGTCCAGTAAAATCATGCATGTTTTAAGATATATTCAAAGTAAGGGGCTGGGGATTTAGCTCAGTGGCATAAGTGCCTGCCTTGCAAAGCAGGCAGTCATGAGTTCGATCCCTGGTACCAACAAAAAGGAAAAAGACAAAAAAAAAAAAAAAAAAAGATATATTCAAAGTAGAAGATATACTAGGGGTTTTTTTTTTTTTTGTTTGTTTGTTTTTTTGGTACCAGAGAATGAACTCATGACCTTGCACTTGCCAGGCAGGCGCTTATGACATTAAGCCAAATCCCTGGCCCTATACTAGTAGGTTTAAAGAAAGAACAAGAAATTCCTTATATTTTCAGATTCCTTTTCGCAACTAACTTTTATGAAACTGTCACCAATTTTTTTATGTCATGAAAGAATAATGTTCTCAATTAGGCTATTATTTAATAATGGTTATTAAATATACCATCCTTTCCCAAATCACACCTGATTTTTCTCTTCACATATTTCAACCAAACCCAAACACACCTCAACAGACTAAAAAAAAAAAAAAGGATCAGACACAGAAATCTAGTAGTGGTCTATTCTCTAAAATAATGTAAAACAATGTTATTTTATTATAGAAATATGTTACTTATGCTAACATGAATGTTACTTAAATTTTTGGCTTTTTTTGAGAGGGTCTCACTATGTAGTTCAGGTTGACCTTAAATTCTCTATGTAGCCTGGGCTGGCCTCAAACTCACAGCACTCCTCCTGCCTTAGCCTCTTGAGTGCTGGGATTATAGGCATGCGCCACCATGCCCAGCTAAATTTTTTAAAAACTTTCAATTGGATTTCTTAATATGACAAGTACCAATAGGTTTAACTCACATAAACAAAAAATTCTGAGAGCACCAATAATTTTTAAGAGCAGAAAGAGTCTTGAGCCCAGAAAGTTTGCTGACTGATGCTATATAAATGAAAGATTTCAAACTGGTGGGATGTGATCCAACTCTGACCCAAAGACATGTTATTGAAACATCTGAATCACTCACATATATTCACAGAGATCAAAAAATCTCACACAAAAGTCTATCTCTGGCTTCTCCTGAAAGATTAGGACATCTGGCACCTGGCCAGCAGATGTTCCCAACAGTGTACTGGCTGGTGCTGCCAGGCAGGCCTGTGGGCCCAGCAGGGGCCTCTCCTGCACTGTAGGCCTTGTTCACTACCGTCCAACCCACAGACACCTCTGGGCACAGTATGTTGCTTCCCTAGCTTGTCCCTAGTTGGAAAGTGACCCTTTTGAGAGCCAGCCACATGCAAAGCACGGCATTCTTGTTCTTTACTAAATTCCTTGCAGGCTGAGAAACTTTCAGCCACCAATTAGAAATGGGAGTGACTGCCAAAGTCTTGCTTTCTTTGATCAGTGACACATTAAATACGGTTCCCATCCCATTCAATTCTATGAAAACCAAGAAGACCCTCATGTTGTCCGGGAGAAAACACAACTCAAGCCTATACCAAGATTAACAGTGCTGGCCAAAAAGAATTTTAAATCTTACTTTTATGTAGGATTCAAAGTAGTCAGCTCAGGTTCAAAGTGATTTTAGGCATTAAATTAGCTTATTCTCAACAGCAGGCACACCTGTAACACTCAGCACTTTTCAATGTCTGCTAAAATTGAGTGCATTTGTGAAAACTTCAAAACTGTCCCAGAAAGCCTTGTGTCCCAGAGACTCCCAAAAAGAATCTTAAAATACTATCCCTATCATATACCTATCTATATTTATATCTATCCATATGTGTGTGTGTGTGTGTGTGTGTGTGTGTTTTGTTTTGTTTTGCCTTTTTGAGACAGGGTCTCACTATGCAGTTCAGGTTGACCTTGTCACTTTGTAGCCCAGGCTGATCTCATGCTCTCAACAATCCTCCTGCCTCAGCCTTTCCAGTGCTGGGATTACAGGTGTGCACCAGCATGCCTGGCTCCTGTAATATTTTTGCATCACTCTTGGACTAAGGACAAAACTCTTGAGCATCAAAGCCAAGGGGTTTAAGTAGGATCATTCTGTTAGGATGGGCAACAAGCAGATGCACTTACTGGTATGCCATGACCCTGAAAGCGCAGTACATCCTCCTCCATAAGAGGTGTGGGGACGACGAAAAATGCTGGCAACCTAGAAGACAGAGATATCAGATTTCAGTTCTATGCTTAATTCACAAAATATGAAGAAAGCTCAACCTTATTGAATACAAGGAAGCTAGGCAGGATGTTATGAAAATGACCATATTTCCCCTCTCTGAAGAACCAGCTGAGCTGAACTATCATTCTCAGTTTGGTGTAAAGCACGCTGGCCAAATCAGTCATGAATCCACATATGAATCCGCATTAGCATTCTGGCCCTGCCTCTGATTCTGCCTGTCTGAGTCTGTTTCTTCTTCTATAAGAGGAAGGGATGGAAAATGTGAGATTTAAAAGTACATGAATTCCAAACTTGGGAGTGACCTTTCTCAACATGTAACAACAATACAAGCACCTGTACTGCTTTCAGTTATTACAACTCAGAGTAATTACGATGCTGCCCAAGTATTTTTTTTTTTTTTTTTTTTGTCTTTTTCCTTTTTTAACAGACCGGGGATCGAACTCACGACTGCCTGCTTACAAGGCAGGCACTTATGCTGCTGAGCTAAATCCCCAGCCCCCCCACCTTTTTTGTCTCTGCCTAAGTATTTTATGAAATACTGTGACAACAACAAACACAAGCATTCTACTGCATGTCAGACACTGCTCTACACTTCCACCATAACCTTGCTGGTATGTACTATGATGATTTCCATTCTCCAGATAAAGAAATGGAGACACAACACAGCTAAGGCCCTTCCAGTCACATAATTAATAAGCATATAATGGAGAGGAGACCCTGACCCAGGAAGCATGACTGCAATTTTTCTAAGAGAAATGCTTGTAAAAAGAACAATATTGTTAAGTAGTAGGCTATGAGTAAGTTACATTTTCAGAGTTGTAGATATCAAAGATATATAAGGAGACTGTCTCTTTGAGTCAGCAAATGCAGATTTCTGTTAATAAGAAATCTGCCTAAATTCTAGCACTGTGGATCTGATAACACCCTTCTTCAAGGGGTCTGAAATAAAGCCTCCTAAGAAATAAGATGCCTAGAGTATAAAACTGCCATGGAAAATAATCATGGGTTTGTATGAATGCTGTATATTTGATATAAATGTGGTATCAGGTAATAAGACTTTCAGAGTTAAAGAAATCAGAACTCAAATGTGATCAAGCCATTAATCAATCCACAGGGGATGGAAAAGCATATTAAATGTCACTAAAGGATTAATTATCCAAATCCACACTCTGAGAAACTATTAGACATATAGTTTGATTTCTTTAGCAAACTGCAAACAAACAAAAATATGGGTGAGATTAAGCAATTTAAGAAATCTATCAATCACAAAATATCAATTTCAATGAATCTTGATTAACAACAAAAAAACAGCTAAGAGGGTGAAACGAAAACTTAAAAGTTTATAATCAGGGCTGGATATGTGACTCAGTGATAGCATATTTTAATATGCACAAGGGCCTGGGTGTGATCTTCAGCATGACAAACAAAACAAAACACAGGAACAGTGAGGAAAATTTGAACTTAAACTGATACTAATTAACATGAAATTTGAAAGGTGCAATAATGGTTTTACGTTACATTTATTAAGAGTTCTTAATTCTTAGAGATATATACTTAATATGCATGAAATATGATAAGCCTAGCCTTTATTTCAAAATAATCCAAGGGAGCCAGGTACAGTGGCATACCCCTGTAATCCCAATGGCTTGGGAGGCTGAGGCAGGAAAGATCAAAAATTCCAGCCAGTCTGTGCAATTCAGTAAAAGTCTTTCTCAAAATAAAAGTCTGGGATGCAACTCAAGCTGAAGGCTCTAACTTCAATCCCACAAACCCACCCTCATCCACAGGAAAGAGGTAGGCAGAAGTATAGAAAAAAACAGAATTAGGTATGAGTTAGTAATAGTTAAGTCTGGGTAATAAGTAAAAAGGAACTGACCACATTCACTTCTGTACTACTTTAAGTTTTATATTACGCAAACTTTAAAGGTTAATTTTAAAAGAACAAAATTCCTACTAGATTATTTAAAATCAGTTTTGGCAACCACTGGCCAAGGCTAAAATACCTCAAACCCTCTAACCTGTCAAACAACATATGTAGCTTTTAAGGCCTAAAGTGCTTGAAATACTTTGTGTATTAGTTCGAATGTGTGGCCAGGAAGGTCCCTTTCTTCAGATGTAGCCACTGAAGTCCAAGCCTCTTCACAGACTGGTGGTTTCCATATTTAGAATGTCCATCAAAATCACAATGGAAGATCAAAATAGTACCAATGTCCAGATTCCACCCCAGATCTATCTATCTATTTACTTATTTGTTTAGAGACAGAACATAGTTCAGGCTGGCCTTGGACTCACTGTGTAATCCAGGCTAGTCTCAAACTCCAGGTGATCCTCCTGCCTCAGCCTCCCAAGTACTAGAATCCCAGGTGTGCGGCTCCATCCCAGAACTATTAAATCAGAGCTTAACAGCTCTCAAGAAATGCAGTCAAGATGAAACCTATTGTTCTGGAAGAGCATACTACTCAGAGTGTGCAAAAGTATCACTGGGTGTGGACAGGAGCACATCTCAGGCTGCGCCCCACCTACAGAATCACACCAGCATTTAACAAGACCTCCAGGTGATTCAGATGCACATCAAACCGTGGGAGTAGTGCCAGTGGGGGCGGACCAAAGGCGAGGGCTCCCTGTATCACTGAAGGCTCTAAAAGGCTCGCAGCCACTAGACTAGACTATCACCCACACAGTTCTCCTTCACACCCATTTCGGAACTAGATTCTCAGCTTTCTTCAGTGGCTCATACTAGAACGCCAAAGTGGGGACTGTGTTCTAAACATTCAGGATGAACATTTCACAATGCTGGTTAACCAGTCAATCTTCTCTGTATTAGTGAAGGCAGACGCCCCACCAGACGTGAAGCACACCACACCCAGGAGGAGTGTGGAGGATGCCCTCACCCATCCCAGGCAGCTCAGGTGGATCGCACAGGATCTCTGTTGATTGCCAACAGATACAAACAGTCAATCTTCCCTCCTTGGAAAATGGTTATTTTAGTTATTAGGATAGGTTTAGAACACAAAGGAAGCAGCCTTTCTCAGTACAGAACAACTTCAGTTGTGTGAGGAACCTCTGGAGCAGTGTTACACTGGCCAACACCAATCCCTGGGTCCCTCTGGTTACACACATGTCAGAGGTCCACACACTCTACCGCTCCATAGGGTAGAGGGACAAGAGAAAGGCTTTTAGAAGGAGAATGAAAAAACAGAGATACAAACCTGCAGCATTAGAAGAGCCAGCTCTGACCTCAAGGAAGGTAAAGTAGAAAATAAGTTACTCATTCTTACCCAAAATGACAGGAGTCGACCCCCTGGTGGGGCTTTCATCAAGTTACTTGGCTTCCCTTATTTACCGAGCACCTCTTAGAAGCAGGGCACAGTGCATATAATGAAGCAAAAACAGTGCACTAATGAATGCCCCCCAAGAAAACCTGGGGCTACCTCAGAAATGGCACTGGACTGAGATATGATCAATGCATGGAGTTAATTCCCCATGTGCAGCTCAGCAAAGGATGCTTCCAGGCGAGAGACCCCTGGGCAGGACAGAATTAGAGACAGGCAGGAGCCACACTGCAATGGGCCCTGGAGAGCTAGAGTTCTGCTTTAAGACCAGTGGGAAGCCACCAACCAGATGCATATGCAGAGGATCACTCAAGAGGATAGGAACGCTACGGGACCAGAATGGATGAGAGAGACCACACCAGGAACTAAAGTAATGGTTCCAGGGAGAAACAAAGCTCAGCTTTCCTTGGGCACTACTCAAACCTAGACTGGTCCTAACAGCATGGGTGGGCATGGGGTGAAATCTGGATAAATGGTTTTACAAGGAGTGATCAACAATATGGTGCATGCTGCAGCCAAGTGCTACCTAATGGACAGGAAGACTCATAAAACATTACCGTGTGTCCTTACTCAACTTATTCACCTGGCACGTACAACTTCTCTGGCTTTTCCCTAAAGTCAAAAAGATCGTGAAAGGTAAAACATTTTGCACAGATTCAGGACATCAAGACTGCCATGACATCACAACAAAAGACACTCACAAAGCTGGGCATGGTGAGGCACTCTTGTAATCCCAGCACTTGGGAGGCTGAGGCAGGAAGATCATTGTATGTTTGAGACTGGCCTGGGCTAGAAAGTCAGCTCAAGGCCAGCCTGAACTGCAAAGCAAGGCCCTGTCTCAAAAAGACGAACGAATGAACGAACGAAAGAAAGAAAGAAAGACAGACAGACAGACAGAGAGAGAGAGAGGAAGAAAGAAAGAAAGAAAGAAAGAAAGAAAGAGAAAGAGAGAGAGAAAGAGAGAAAGAAAGAAAGAGAAAGAAAGACAGACAGAAAGACAGACAGACAGACAGACACTCACAAAGAGGACTTCCAGAACTGCTTCAGCAAGTGGTAAGAAGGATAAGTAAGTGTGTTTGAAGCAAGGATGGCAATGTGTCTGTTACTATAATAAATTTTTTAAAAATTTAAACACTCATTGTATTTTCCATCATATATGATATTTTTTACATGCTTACACCTGTGTAAGTGCCAGAAAACAGCACAGGCTAGATTTTAAAAAATAATCCTGGGTGCTGGGCACAATGGCACACACCTATAAACTCAGCTACTTGGGAGGCTGAGACTAGAGGATCAAAGACAGCCTGGACTAAACAGTGAGGCCCTGTCTGAAAGAACAATAACCAATACCACAACAAAAGACGAACTCTGGGCATGAAGATACCCTATATTAGTATCAGCCTCACATTACATCTCATAGGCGCAGGAATTTCTAAGCTTTTTCTATGAGCTCGCTTGTCCCTTTTCAGGCTTTTCACCTGGGAAAGGAGAAAGCAAGACTGGGCTGACAATAAAGCTCTGGGTGGTGTCAGAACCATTTGGGTTCCTTACATTGTCACCACAGCTCAGCTCACGATGTATGGGGTATCCCCTAAGTGTTTGGGATTGATCAAAATAGAAACCGAGTAGGCATGGTGTTGCACAAGTATTATCCCAGCACCCAGGAGGCTGAGGCAGGAGGATCACAGTGAGTTTGCGGCCAGCCTGGGCAACACAGTGAGCTCAAAGCCAACCTGAACTACATAGTGAGATCATATCTGGAAAAAAAATATGAAAACTGTATTTTATGAAACTGTTAGCAATTTGCTAGGAAAAATGTTCCAAAGTGATAGGATTCACATTTCTAAAAAGAGACTATGCAGAGTCACCCTTTAAAATGTAGGTCAGATCACTCCCTGCCTTTGGTTAAACTCCCCCTCATTTCTCAGAATCAAAAGGATAAATTCTTCCAAAAGCATCCAGAAAGCATTTAATAGTCCCCTCTCTTTCTCTTGCTCTCTCTCTCCCCTGCTTCTTCCCAAACCAACTCAACCCATCTTCTTCAAGGCCTGGCTCCTGAGGCCTTCCTACTCAATCTTCTATCATTTGCAGCACTATTTACCCTGCACCTGCTGTTTTTCTCCACAACACATAGCATGCATGTGTGCACTTGTGTGTACATGTGTGTGTGCACACGTGCTGCCAGGGATGGAACCCAGGGCTTTACACATGCTAAGCAAGCACTACACCACTGAGCTATAATATAATCCTGCTCCAACTGAAAGTGGCTGTTTTTGTTTTGGAGCCAAGCCCTGAACTCAGGATCTTTCGCACACAAGGAAGGCACTCCATCACTGAACTGTACCTTCAGCTCTCTAGCACTTACCTTTAATATGCTACTTTACTTTCACTTCTTTATCCTCCCACTGTCTTCCTCCCACTAGGAAGATGCGCCATGAGATACCGGATACAAAGAGGTCAAAGCAAGAAAAATGTAAAGTCTGAAGGCAGTCAGGACTACACAGTGAGACTCTGCCTCAGAAAACAACAAAACCTACCTAAAGACTGAAGTGATAGGAGGTGTTAATAACCATTAAAATTGGTTCTGAGACTAAAGAAGTCATTAATAAACCATATGATATGAGAAAAAAAGACAAAAAGATATAAAGTAACTTTTGGGGATTTCAAGAAACATTATTTATTTATTTTTATTTTAAATTAAGAAACATTTTAATAATTTCTTTTTATCCCCCCTGGTACCAAGAATCAAACTCAGGACCTTGCACTTGCCAGGCAGGTGCTATGCCACTGAGCTATATCCTCAGCCCAAGACCTTGTTTTTGAAGCTAGTACCGAGAGACCAGGGGCACAGCTCAGTGGTAGAATGCTTGCCTAGAATGCATGAAACCATGGTTCTACTCCCAGCACCCTGAGAAAAATAAAAATAAAGGCTAGAGTTGACAGGAAGGAATCTCATACACCATGGGAATATAAAATAGTACAACATAAGTAGAAAACAGTCTGGTAATTCCCTCAAAAAGTTACACACATAATTACTATATATGTTCTGACAATTCACCTCCTAGATTATACTATACCAAAGAGAAATAAAAACATATCCACATAAAAACTTGTACACAATTGTTTGTGATAGCCTTATTCAGAAGAAACAAAAGGTAAACGTGTAAGAAGCCAATGGGAAAGTCCACTTATATGATTTTAGTTCTACGAAATGTCCACAACAGGCAAACCTACAGAGACAGCTGGTGGTCGCCCAGGTCTGGGGAGAAGAAGGAAGATGCTCAGGAGAAATGAAGAATGATTGCAAATAGGCATGGGGTTTCTCCTGGAGATAATGAAAATGTTCTAAAATTGATAGTGATTATGGTTGCACAACCCAGTCATTATATTAAAAAAAACAAAACCCAGTTGAAATGGATGAATTGTATGGCAAGTGGCCGCACTGAAAGCTTACCTCTCACAGATTCTGTAGCCTTCATTGACACTCACTGCTTTGTACTTCACATTGCCTTTGGTCCGCTCCAGTTCCCAGCACCAGTCCTTAAGTGTGTCAAACATTACTGTATGGTCCTCGGGATCAGGAGCTAACACAACAAAAGTAGAGAGACAATAAAATCTCTTTGTAAAGCACTAGCATTTTAACTGAGGCTCCGGTTTCCTTCACTAAGCCCATTTTTATCCAAGCAGAAAGAATTTACTGCTTAAACCTCTGTTCCAGGTTTGTGATCATTAACCCAAATTTATGACTGGGGCTTTCTTTTTTCTTTCTGTTTGGCAGTACTGGAAACTGAACCCAGGCCTTTCACACTAAGCTTTATCCCCACTCATTTTTTAATTTGACCCAGTGTCTCACTAACTCACTAAGTTACTCAGGCAGGAACCAAATTTGTAATCTTCTTGCCTCAGCCTCCTAGAGTGCTGGGATTATAGGCATGCACTACCCTGCTCAACTCTGAGACCATCTTCTTCATGTTGTAAGAGAGGTTGTTCTTGTTCCAGTCCTTGCAAAAGTAATTTACAGCTCCATTCTCAGTCATCTAATCATAATTTATATAAAACAAAAAGATCACACAAAGCACTAAACGACAGGCTTATCACCAAAGTTGAAGCAATGAAGTATTTTTAGCCCTACCAATATGTGCATAAGATGGCAGACTGACTTGAATAGCACATTTGATTTCTGAATGCATCCTTCCATTTGGGGATGTGTTGGCCATAAGAGGAAAGGTTAGCAGGACACTTGGTTACTGCTAGCCATAAACAGATCAGACAGCCACACTGAAGGCCACATCATGGTGATGGTGCATCTGCTCCTAGCCCAGCCCTGGCACTCCCTGTAAGAACGAAATGCCTGGAAATATTGCTCTTGCAGGCCAGCACAGGTGTCCTTGGTCCTCTCCAAGGCCGTCCCTGCTTGCAGGGGATAATGTGCTCCCCCAAATTATTTTTACGCATCTCAGAAGACAAGCCTTCTTGAATCACAAAGTGTTTCATAAAACTATGCCAAATATGCCTTTCAATAAAACCAAATTATCACAAAATTAACACCAAGCTGGACATGGTGGTGAATATTTGCAATCTCAGGTACTATGGAGGTTGAAGCAAGAAAATCATAAGTTTGAGGTCAGCACAGGCAACTTATTGAGACTTTGTCACAAAAAAGGGAGAGGGGGAAGGGGCTTAGCTCTTCCTGGGTTCAATCCCCGGTATATGAAAATCAAATGACTGGGAATCATACATGACCATACAGGTTAAATACACCTACTCCTAAAATTGGAAATACTCCAAAATCTAAAACTTGAGAGAGTGTCAGTCTAACAACTCAAGTGGAAAATTTCACATCTGATCTCATGTACAGGACAAAGACAAAACACAAGCATAAAACCGTATATAATTACTTTCAGGCTCGGCAAATAATATGTGAAATATTAAACAACATTTGTGTTTAGACTGGGGACCCATCCCCAAGATTATTCATTATGTATGTATATATAAATGTTCCAAAACCCAAAGTACTCTGGTCCTAAGCATTTTGGATAAGGAATATTCAAACTGATCAGTGCATACAATGACCTGGCACTGTTTTATGCATATTACATTTTATTAGCTTATTTTCATAACTATACAGGATAGGGAAGGCAATAGGCAATGCGATTTCCTCCATGTTAGAGATGTGGCACAGAAAAGTCAAATAACCTCCTCCAGTCACATAGCTAGGGAATAGTAAAACTGGAATCCAAGCCCAGGTGGCTACAACACAAATATCTGTAAAACACTAAGCGGGGGGAACTTTCCTATGGATGGAAGTAGTAACAATACTCCCATACAGCAAATCTGGCTAGTTTTTTTTAAGCAATACATGCAAGTCTCTCCTTAAAATTCCATGTCAGAGACACTTAGGACATTTTAGCCAAAATACATTTGTAAATTATTACAGCAGGGGATAATTAGATTATTCAGACTACAAGGCACTCACCGCTATAAACCCTTTACTCAATAAAAAGGCTAACTGGCCAACAAGCAGTTACCAGCTGCAATCTTTACTTCTTGAAAAGACTGAGGTCAGAAGACAAGAGAAGGATGGGATTAACATAGAATAAAGATGATATATATCCTGGGCCGGCTGAGGATTTAGCTCAGTGGCACAGCACCTGCCTGGCAAATATGAGGTCCTGAGTTCCATTGCTAGTACAAAAAAACAAAAAAAAAAAGAAGAAGATACATATCCCAGACTTCTGGCACAAAAAGCCTGATATGATCAAGGTAAGGTTTCTGGCAATCTAATCAACATATGCTGGTTCCTGTCCTGGATCTACATCAAAAATTGAAATATAAGAACAAAAGTCCTAAACACAGAACATGATTTTTCAAATGTGAGTCCAATAAATGTTCATATCAATTACAATAATTGAGCCAGGTGTGGTGGTACACACCTGTAGTCAGGAGGCTGAGGCAAGAGGATCACTCAGTTTGAAGCCAGCCTGTACTACAGAGAGACCCTGTTTCAAAATAATTAAAAAAAAAAAAAAAAAATCAAGCCAACTGTGGTGGCACAGTGCTGTCATCTCACTGCTTTGGGAGTCTGAGGCAAAAGAATCGTAAGTTTGAGTCTAGCCTGGGCAGTTCAGAAACTTAGCAACTGTCTCAAAATATAACAAATAAATAAAAAAAGGGCTGGAGTGCAAAGAACCTAGGCTCAAATATACGTACTGCAAAATAAGAAGAAAAAAAATAGAGAAAGGGAAGGGTGAAAATGAAGTCACATTTATATAGTTCCATATTTCCATGCGCTATATGCACACCAGCACATAGTTACATAGCACTGGGACACACAGCTAAGTGGAAAGATCTGTTGTTTGCAAAGATGAACTTACCTGACTACGGGACACATTTTATGTTCAGTGTAATACTGGTGTGAAATACATTTTATGTTAGCATGATTCTCTGAACATAATCCATCCTGAATATTATGCAGCTTTAGTTTCCATTAACTCTACAATTAATGACCACTCAGCACTTTTATAATCTTCACAAAAATCCAAGGGAATCTTAACACAGCTGCCTTTAAAATGAGAAAATAAAAGCTCCAAGGGGCAAGTGTCACCCTCAGGATCACAAAGCCAGACAGTGGTTGGACAAGGATGTAGCCTCACAGATGGACATCAAAACCTCTATTTTTTTCAGTATAAATCACTGGAGTTCCACAGTGTAACATGCCATCACCTTCCACAGTTCCGCGCTCCTCTAGATCTCCCCGAAGTTCCCTCAAGGCTCTCCGCCACCAGCTGAGCACAGCCTGCCTTCCTCAGCAGAGTGGGCACTTCCATCAGAGGACGCATCACTCAGCTGCCCTTGCTGTTTCACTCTAGGCTCCTCGAGGGCAGGACGGCGTCCTGTTTACCTCCACATCCCCACATGGCCTGGCCCACAGCAAGCACACAGTAAATGGGTAGCTAGTCACAAAGCAACTCTGTGTCCAGAAAGTTTACATGTACTGCTTGTAAACAAACTGACCATCTTCCCGAGAGGGGACTCAGGATCACTAAACATCAGCTTCATGTTATGAATAATGGGCAAAGCTGAGCATGGTGGTGCACGCCTATACTCCCAGCACTTGGGAGGCTGAGTCAGGAGGATTGCTGTGAGTTCAAAGTCAGCCTGAATTACCCAGAGATCCTGTCTCAAAAAAACAAAACCAAAAAAAAGAAAGACATAAAAAGAATAATGGGCAGAGTAAGTGGACAGACTGAAGAGAAATATGACAGACATCTGTTCTAGCCATTGTTGATGGCTATTTCACATGGTCAGAGTTTCTTACTTTAAATGTTCTCTTTTTCAACAAACTAAACAGAAAATATTTCAAACTTTAAGTTTTCTCTTACTAAGCCAGTTTTCTACAGTGCTTTTGTTTTTAAGTGTCTAAATGTCTTCTTTGCTATAAAGCATGCTCTGAGTGCTTAAAACTTTCTAAAATGCAAGACTTTCTCTACAACCTTATAAAATGAGATCAAGTACATTTAAGATGAAAAGAATCCAGAGACACAGTAATTTTAAACTTGTCTCAATTTTGTTTCTCTACAGTCTCACATTTATAGTATAATACATTAATTTTACCTTTGAAAAGTGGCCAAATAAACAATCCATTGCAAAAGGCAAGCAAACAAGCTGGGTATAGTGGTGCATGCTTGTAATTCCAGCACCTGGGAGGCTGAGGCAAAAAAATCTGGGTGAGTTGGGGCCAGCCTGGATTACATAATGAGCTAAGGGCCAGCTTGAGCTACACAGCTGAGCTCTTATCTCAAAAAAAAAAAAAAAAAAGCAACCAAACAAACCTTAAATAAAATAAATAAAAGATCAAAAGAAAAAAAGAAATCTTCTGAATCAACCATTCAAGCAAAAGTGAAAAAAGAGCTAGAAAAGAGCAGGGGGAAAAAAACCTTAATTACTGAAGATGGGTTTTCTCCTGGTTGCAGGTAAGAATAGTTAAGATTCTGCTTATGCTCCAATCAAAACCAGAGAATACTTACCTGTGTTGTTCGGTGCAGCAGTTGCATAGGAAAACAGAAATAATCTTTTAAGTAGTTTAGGAGCCTGGGTATGATGAATTATCCCACTGACAATCTAGGGAAGAACAGACCAACGGACACAGTTATGCCTTTGATAGATAAAATGCAGAAGCCAAATTATGTAGTTCTTGGTCATGCTAATGTTTCTCTGAGGTCAACACAGCAACCTTATTAAGGTTTGGATCTATGACTGAGATCTTGGAATCAATATAGACTGAAATGATACTATTTTGGTATGTTTTCTAAGAGATCTGAACTTCTAGGGAAAACTTTAAAATATAACCTAATTTCTTAAAAACAGTCTGATATGCAATAGACTTACAGCTGGTATCAGATAATAACCAAGACACTTAGGCACTCATTTGTGGCTTCTTCGTATGTGGATGATGAAGGAAAATATGTCTATTGTGCTTTTCTGTTGTCTACCATGTTTAAGTGTGGACAGACAACTAAAACCATTGTTCAAAATGAAGTATCTGCCTTCTTAGGAAATTTTATCTACATCACTCTTTTCAAGCTCAGAATAGACACTGCAGTCATGTTCATTATTCTAATAAGACTATCATACATATGAAAGAAAATTAGGCATTACCTGTATATGTACACATTTCATTGTGAACAAAACAATATACACTTACTGGCCACCTGCTAGGTTTCCCTAATGATGTACCATAAGGGGTAAATCATCTTTATAGTGAAAGATAAATCTTTTTTTTTTTTTCAAATAGAGTCTTACGTTTGTAGTTCAGGTTGGCCTTGAACTCACAACTCTATGTAGTCCAGCCTGGCCTCAATCCTCCTGTCTCAGCCTGCCGACTGCTGGAATTACAGGCATATACTACCATGCCTGGTTGAGAAATCTTGAAGTTACCTGAAAGTTAAATCAGCTACTTACCTAGTTCATCCAGTTATAGATCTCAAACTGTTGCAGCAGACCCAAGTGATTAGGTTTCTTTGGCCTTCAAAGGCACACCTATAACTCAGCTTTGCTCACCTGACCTGTGTGCCCCCTCCTTCTAGGCACAATCGCTACCCCGCAGTGGTAAATTCATTTATTCCCAAGAGCTGGAAGTCAGCACTCTATTTTGAGGCAGGCTGTCAGAAATGAGGAGGCAGGATAGCTTTACCTCTCATATCTTTCTCTTTATTCAGTGTCTCTCTGACTTGGCTTATAAGCTTCTACCTGTTAGTGGCTCTAGTAATAACATTATGAATTGGAGGATTAAAGGTACCATGTGCCAAGATGATACACTGGCTCCATTTACCTAATTACCCCTTGCTTTCTAATCAAACAACAGAGAAAGGGGCCAGGTACATAGCTCAGTGGCACAGTGCCTGCCTGGTAAGTGCAAGGTCCGGAGTTCGATTCCCAATACCAAAAAAAGTCGGGGTGGGGATTACAATCAATTTCAACTTCATGCAGCAAAAGGCTCCCTTCCACTTTCAGACAATCTAAACAAAAGCTACAGTCAGTGAGGAAACCCTGATGGAAAATAAAACCCCAAACACATGCAACTAGTTACCCTTTTGACTTCCTCTTCTTTTGTGTACCTCAGACAAAAGTGGAACACGCGGAGGTCTTTGCAGTGGATGATGAGTTTCTCAGGGTATTTCTTCAGTTGTCCAAAAAGAGTTTTTTTTTTCTCATCAAACACTACAGATCAATAGTAAAATTATGGAAAGAAATTACATTACATGGCAACAAGTAATGCTAAAGAAACAAAGCAGGCTGCTAACGTCTTCTAAGGGCAGGAGCCCACTCCCTCCCGGCAGGGCCTGGCTCCCTGTGAGCAGTTGGGGTTCTTCACTCCTCTGCAATAAGCATGTAATTCAAATAGACTGGACGCAGTCTCAGAAAGAACTCCAATGGCCTGAAGAAAATCCAGCTCCAAAGGCTGAGATAATAAAAGGGTGGAAGGGAGAAGGCGAGAGACATGCTTTTGTGCCAGTCAATTTCTAGGGACCCCCACTTCCCTACTTGACCCAAAGCTTGGATCCAACTCAGCACATATGGCTGTTGAGAAAATAATAAATGGCTACTGAATAAATTTTAAAATGCCCTGAACACAAAACAGGGAACAGAGAGAGAAGTTTGAAAGGAGTTTGTTTCGTCAGCAGAGGACACCCTAATATGAACAGAACAGACCCTACAGACCACCCTTTAAAGTAAAGCCTACATAGCCACCACAGGTGGCAGAGTATGAGCCACATCTAATGCAGCATGAGCTCGTGTGGAGCATGAGAAACAACAAGTTCCTGGTTCAAGTTGGAGCTCCTCCAACTAAGCAACCCCAAGTAAGCTACTTCTCATCTCAATTTGCCATCCACAAAATGGATTTCAACCATATATTTTAATAAACAATAAAAGGCCCCAAGAACATTTTCATCATTAACTATAGATTCCAAGGATGGCAACCACCCCAAGGAAAAGACATACTTACCTCCATAAATCTGATCAACACAGTGGAGGGTAATGTCATTTTCTCCTATAACCTTATTCTTAAACTGAGTTTCCTAAAAGATTCAAAAGAAAACAACTGTGACTCCTTTTAATGCTCTGCTAGATATTTATAAAGAGAGCAAATTATCATTTTCTTTCTTTCTTTTTGGTATTGGGGACTGAACTCACAACCTCATGTTTGCCAGGCAAGCACTTATGCCACTGAGCTAAATCCCCAGTCCTCAAATTAACACTTTCTACTTGCACGCCAATAAACCCAGGAAATGCACTCACATATCCCTAGGAAAGGGAAGACCAGGAATGTGAGAGGAGCTCAGGGGCAGTGATATTTCAAAGCTGGGCAGGTGCCATTTCTGGGTTGTTCCCAGACAACCCAGAGGTTCCCGTGCCTCCAACCAAGCCACTTTGACAAGTGTGAGGAAGTGACATGCAGTTTAACATTTCTTCACACAAATTCAAAGAGGCAACTGACAGAGCTACTGAGGCCAGCTTTAGGAAGAAAACTCTGGGTGATTCAAGTCTCGGTACAGGACTGGCAAGCAAACCACGCCATGGGGCGGCAGCACAGCAGACCAGACACACAGCAGCAGCGGCAACGGTGCTGGTTTGAGAAGCTGGAGGAGTTGGCGGGGAGAGGTCAGGTCAGGACAGCAGGCACACTGTGCCAGAAGGGGCCGGGGCTGGTTGTCCATAACCCCGGGCGCCAGGGTTTCTTTCCCTCAACTGCTCACTCCTAAGCAGGCATAGCTCTCACAAGGATACTGCTACGGGGCTCAGATTAAACAGAGAGTAAACCCAACTTCAATGGCTACCCTTACCATTAGTTTTACTAGTTCCTGAGTTTGAGTTCAGGACAGGGAAAACACGGGGAACTAGTATACTTGGACAGATATTGTGATTTACACTGTGCTGAAATTGAAATACAAAAGAAATGAGGAAAAGTTGGTCAACCTGAGGGCAAAAGCAAGCCAGCATCATATGAGGCACAGGAGGGCAAGTTCTAAACAGTCCTGCAGCTGACAGAAGCTTTTGCCTCTTGTATTTACATGTTGAGGGGAGTAAGATGATGGAGGAACTGAGAAGAGGGGAAGAACGACAAAGCCACAACTACACCATTCCCTCCAAACTCAGCCAAATCAGACTCATACATACACCATTATCCAATCCAGATTCACCATCGCTCAGGAAGGCAATTTTAAAGTCTGTGCAGACGAGCCTCCCATAGACGCCACGCTGACAGCAATCTTCCTGTACATATTTCAGGACTGTGCTGGCTTCACAAAGCAGCTGTTCACCTGGTGGAAACCAAAACAAGTCCTCCTTAACTCTGCAGGGAGCACACAGTGTGCAAATATTAAGATCTTTCTCTGCTCTGTTTACCTAAGAGCAACCATACAATACCATGCAACACCTCAGAATGTGCCACTTTTCAGAGTAACAGGGGCTGCAAAATTTAGAAGACCATGAAGCAGGGATTTGTCTTCTCACTCTAAATACAGTAATGGAAATTTCCGAATAGATGGTAATGATTTCAAGCACAGATCCTTGTGTTTTTACAACTCTGACCCCAGATGTTCCATAGCAGCGATACCCTAAGCAAGCAAAGCCAAGCAGCTTCTGCTGACACAAGGGTGCAACAGTCTTCCATAGCAAGACCACTTCATTCTGGTGCACCCTGGGAGGGCGAGAGGAAAAAGGAGGTCAGAGGCTTGTGGGGAAAATATTTCCTTTCTTCATTGAGAGTATTTCCTTTCAGTGTGACACCTTTCCTGCCCCAACTATCGGTGGCCAGCCCACATGAGAAGCTGCAGCTCCTGGACAGACAATATACTCTGTCTGTTGTCAAAAAAATTAGCACTGGAGACAAATAAGCATTCTCTCCTCCCTGGAAGCAAAGAAGCTTATGATGGGGGGGGGGGGAATATCTGGATTAGGGTAGGAAAAACAGAAAGACATTGGGAAATGAAAAACTAAATGTAAATACTATGTATCAAAGAAAAAAAAAGGAATTTTCTTCTCATCCAATAGGTAACATCTTTCCCTCGGGATTTCTCTATCTTCAGATTTACTTAGCTAAGGTGGGCCTGATGGTACATATTTGTAATCACAGCACTCAGGAGGCTGAGGAAGAAGGATCACTACACTCAAGACAAGCCTAGGCTACACGGTCAGTCCAACAACGCCAACCTGAACTACACAATAAAACCCTGTGGGAAGAAAGGAAGAAAGCAGAGAAAGAGAAAGAGAGAGAGCAAGCAGGAGAATTTATGAAAAAGTTCTTTTGGATTAAGGAAAAGTAAAGAAAGAACACACAGCAGACAGGATTTTCCATATAAGGGATGGATATTCCATCCAATAGTTTATGTTCCTGAACTTTTTTTTTTTTTAATTTTATTTAAGGAGAAAAAGAAAAAAAAAAAAACAGAAAAAGGGTACAAGTTATACAGAATTTCAGAAAGAATAAACAGTAGGAAATCACTAGTTAATAGATTACATATTGTTATCTAGAAATAGTTCATCAAGTTACAAAATTAAAGCATATAAAGTGGACTTTCAAACTGTTTGCAGTAAGACTGCAAACAGTTTTGTTCAATGATCCAACAAAATTCAGTAATATGGTTATCTATCTTATATACTTAAATATATATACAGTTATATTCTTTAGAGCACTTTCTTTTACACAATGACAATTACAATTTTGGGTTTTATTACTCCCAAGGTTCTTATTACTTTTTTTTGAAGAGAGTGAAATCAAATGCAACATAACAGAACAGAGTCAGTCAAATCAAAAGGATGGACATAATAGATAATGTAAAAACAAACTACAAGGTGATCAACAATGGTTATCATACTGCCTCTTGCTATCTTAAAAAGAATTGCCTATATCATCAGTTATAATAAAATTGAACAAAACAGTAAAGAATAAAACCAAAACATTGCAGACATTATAGGACTTTAAAAGAAGATAACAGTCAACCAGAATGGGGGTAATAATGAATCTTATTGTCTTCACAGTTGTTGCCTATACTTTCGAACTTGGTACTATCAAGCTAAGCAGAATAGGGGAAAATCAGTCAAAACAAGATGATGAGGGCAATACAGGGTTTCAAATCAAGTTAACAGGAAATCAAAATGGGTTACTATAATGTATCCTGCTATTTTTAATTTATTTTTCCCTTAATTAAAAAAGATAAAAATAAAAAAGTAAATATTTAAAAAAAGGAGATTGAGACAAAAGAGGGCATAACAACAAAATAGCACAGGTCAAAGCATAACCATTTAAGCAAAATAGTGTTTCACCACAAGATATCCTGACATAAAAGTATTTACCATAGTGTCTCTTTCCTCGAAATCTTTGAGTATAACTTCATATACTGTAGCACCAAACATACCAAGACAATGTAAAACCATTCAAGAGAATGACAGTATTACAGGGTATTTAGAGCCAACTAACAGAAAATAAACAATGGTTTCTGTATAATCTCCTTGTCTATAAAAGTTTTTGCTTATACTATCACATATAATAAAATCCAATAAGACATAACCTGTTAAGACTGATGGAGACAGAAGAATAAAAGCTTGATGGGATTTCAAAACAAGATGATACTAAATCAGCACTAGCTATTATAATGTCTTGTTTTCTCCAAAATAGCTGTTCCTACCATCCAATCTTCTCTGTTTCATTTCTGTTGAGATCTTTTTCTGTCGTTTGTTTTCAGTCTGTCTTCTTCATTTCGCTTTCTGCTCCATTCATTGTGGCCTCTCTGCCACTGTTTCTGGAATCTTGGTATTTTCTTTTTTTTAGAATATCCTGCAGTATTTTCTGTAGAGTTGAATTGGTGGTTGCAAATTCCCCTAGTTCCTCTTTATCCTGGAAGCACCTTGTTTTTCCATCAATTTCCAGGGACAGTTGTGCAGGATATATCAATCTTGGCTGGAGGCTATTATCTTTCAAAGCTTGAATTATTTCCCCCCACGCTCTTTGTGATTTGATAGTTTGTGCCGAGAAGTCTGCTGTAATTCTGATGGATGTTCCCTTGTAAGTGATCTGTTTGTTGTCTCTGATGGCTTTTAATATTCTGTTCTTATATTGGATTTCTGGTATTTTGATTATTATATGCCTGGGTGTAGCTCTGTTTGGGTTGTAGGTGGCTGGGGTCCTGTATGCCTCATACATCTGAGTATCTTTACCTTTTGCTAAATTAGGGAAATTCTCTTGGATTATTTCTGTGAATAGCTTTTGTAGTCCATTTGTTTGTGCCCCTACTTCTTCTTTTATGTTCTTAATTCTTAAGTTATACATCCTCTTATCATCTTCTAGCCTTTGTATTATTGCTGTTTGTTTTCTTGTTATTTTTAAGAAGTTTTTCATTTCATGCTCCCATATTACAAATCTGCCCTCCAATTCAGATAATTTATCCTTAGTTTCTTTCAAGCTGTTATGCCAGCTTTCAATAGTCTTTAGTTTCCTGGTAATCTCTTAGAACCTGCTTCACATATTCTATGTTTTCTCTATTTTCTCCATCAAACAATTCTCCCCTTTTTTTCTGTTCTTCCATTCCACCATCTGCTTTTTCTTGGGCGGTGCTTAGCATTTCTCTAACTATTCTATTTATATCTTGCTCTGTTTCGTTAAATACTTCTCTTTTGAACTCATCTATGAGGCTCCAGAAATATCGCTTTATGTCTATTCGTGCCGTGTCTGATATTGCATGTTTTCTTTCCTCATTCTCCTTTGCATTCACCTTTCTTGGATCAGTGTTCTCAGGATTGGGGACTGAGGACCCTTTCTTGTTGCTTCCTCTTCTCATACTTTTTGTTCCTTCCATACAAGCAAATATAGGAGGCCCAGTTTTTTTTCTCTTTGTCTGTTACGGTTTGTTTGAACTGCGCCAGCTAGGTGTTCCCGCCCACTGCAGTGTACTAGGGAGACAGACCTGGGCAGCATCTGCTGGGCCTGCCCCTCCAGGTCAACCTACCGAAGGCTTCACTGCTAGGGTGCACCTCCACGCGCTGAGACCTGGTTTGGGCTAGCCTACTGGGTATTAGTCAGCAGCATCACCCAGGCCAGGTACTCCCCACCAATCCCGCTTGAGAGGGGAATATGTGACTAAAGTTACTGCAGCATCCTGTTCCGGCAAGTCTGCCCAGTCCCAGTATGTCCTTTGCTGAAGCCTCCTACTCTATGGAAGGGTCCCCGTTCCTCTCACTCACTGCAGGTCAATGCAGGGCTCCCTGCCAGTCCCATTCTCAACTCCGTTTGCTGATTCCCATTCTCAGAGTTTTCGTGTGTCTCTCTCCCTGCCGTGCCGATCTGGACGCAGCAGCGGCAGCAGGAAATTCAAGTCTCGGCTTCCAATGGCACGGGTTCTAGCTTCCATGCTGAGATTTTATCTGTTCCTGTTATAGCACCAGGATTGCGTTTCCAGTTGGTTTCTCTGAGCTTAGTTCGTTCCTGGGTCGGCAGGGTATATCTCCCCTTGCTTAGGACTCCTCGCACCGCCCCATACCTGGATTCTAAGCGGGGTATTTCAGAGAGCCTCTGTAGCTACTGCTATCTATCTGCCATGTTCTCCCAGAAGTCCCTATGTTCCTGAACTTTGAAGTGGTTTTAACCTAACTGTAGCTCTAGTCACTCTCTTTTGTCTCAGAAATATAATCCATGGCCTTTCATACTAAATGAACTTAAAAGTAAAACCTGGACAGCCGTATGGTTGGCAAACCCCAGCTTCCCTGCCTCCAGGGCTCAGATGCACCAGCAGAGACTGAAAGGTGAGGCCACCCACCAACAGATGCCCTCGGAGGCCCATGCTGCTGCTCCATTCAAGGACAACAAGCATGGGCAGCAGGGAGAAAGTATGTGGGGTGCAGCCCTCTTCAGGGAACTGTGATTTTCCTAACTGTAGACTACAATAGGGCCATGTAGGACAATCTGAAAAAGGCCTCATTTGTTTGGAAAGAACTGAGAATTTCTCAGGTTTATTTTTATCAGCTTGAATGACAGAGAAATAAGAAAAATTCTTTCCAGATGCTGTAACACTCAGAACCAGGTGTGCAGTTACTGAATTAAAAACTTTAATATCTGTCCAACTCATTACTGTTATGTGCCAGAGGATGAAACAAAGGAATTTATATATAGCAACTGTAAGGATGACATAATTTATCACTGGCTTTGAGCTGCACACAAGGTATGATGCTAACATGACTGTTACCTGGCAACAAGTGAAGGGTGACTTCCTTCTCAGTTACTTCCTTTTCATCTGTGTGAATTTCCTAAAACAGAAGAACAAAGAAAAGGTCAAGCTTTCCTTTGTTTGAGGGCTCAAAATAACATAAAAGCATACACACCCAAAACCATCACATATGCAGGAGCTTTGTGTTTATTTGACAAACTGCTTTTTAAAAACATGTTCTTAACAAAGGAAGACAAAATTCTAACAAGTTGGGGGACAATCAATGTATCAAACTAATTAGTTAGAGCTGGGTGCCGCGCTGCATTCAGAAAGCTGAAACAAAAAGAAACTGCTGAATTCAAGGCCAGCCTGGGCTACTGGGCTACATGAGTTCAAGACCAGTTTGAACAAGGCAAGACCCTGCCACAAAAAAAAAACAAAACAAATAAACACCCAAACCAACCAAAACAAAAAAACCCCAACAACATAAAATACTAGCTGTCCCCAGCATAAGGATAGGAGTGTCCCCTTACATAAGGGTCCCTGTGTAAAGGAACGAGTTGAAGTGACACATAAGAAAATAAGCCACAAAGGAACAGAAGACACGTTGCATCATAATTTCTCTCTCTCCCCAGTGAGAATTAAGGGTTGGAAGCAAAAAAGATTGTGTGTTCTTGGTTTGTTTTTTTCTTTTCTTTTTTTGAGGCAGGGCCTCATTATGTAGTTCAGATTGCCTTGAATTCATCGATCCTCCAGCCTCAGCCTCCTGAATGCTGGGATTACAGGTATGCACCACCACACCCAGTAATTGTGCGTTCTTGGGAGAAAGGCTTAAAAATAAAAACAGGAAAATGTGAGTGCATCTATCAGTACAAATCGTGTACTTTATAGAACAGTAGGGCTCAGTAACGACAGCTGAAAGCATTCACTGATAATTCCAAAATACCTAAAAACACAAGATAGTGACAAACCTTATAATCACTTCTAAGGCAAAACAAGGGCTAGGGCTGTGTCACTGTTGCCCAGTAAACTTGTTCAAATTCCTCTGTTCGGTTTAGTATTTACTGAGCATGACAGAATTAGTAAATCCTGTTGCTTCTAAAATGATGATCATAAATGACCATTAACACAGCAATGAGAAAGACTACAATAGGACCAAGTAGGACAATCTGAAAAAAGCCTAGAAGCCTCCTTGAAGCCACATCATCTATTAAGTATTCTTGCCAAAATATTTAACCTCAGTCTGCTTGAGCATTTATGGAATTGTAACAAGTTATAAGAAACACTGGATCAGAGAAACATGCTAAATGACACAATGGGGATGCCATCAGTCAAATTCTGACTGGAAAATTCTCCAAGACACAACTAGTTTTGTGAACAAACAAAAACTTGATTTATTTTATTTTACTTTGGTAGAATCAGTGTTGGGGTCTGTGCCTAGATCCCCAATCCCCTAGAATGGTGCATGGCAAAGGCCCAAAGGAATGAGACATGGTCTTTAGGGCTGCAGGAGAACTAAAATCCTGGGCAGAGCTCATAACTCTGCTGGCTGGCCAGCAGACTGACTAGGCAGCCTGTATTTAATCATAACAAGTAAGGGCTTGAGGGGACAATGAAGGAAACCTGAACAGGATCTTGGGAGGGGTTCAAGGATCCTTCAGTGCTACCGACTGACACTAATTAAGGAAAACTATCCAGAAAGTCTCCAGGTGGCCTTAGCTGTTTTGGCCTATCTTGCCCCCTGAGGGGTCTCCTCTTCTCAGTTCAATCATGCTCGGGCCACACCATAGCCCTACAAGTGTATTCAGCTTCAACCGTCTCCAACAAATCAGTTTCATGAATCTGTGATTTCCGATTGTATTATGACACTGGGAGAAACTTGGGTATAGCTAAGGAACAGAGAAATAGCTCATTTTAAGGCTGAAATAGAAAGAATGTCGGCCGTGGCCACCCCAGGGCGAGAACCAACAACATGTTAACTTAGGACGCTGGGAAACCAAGCAACCAACTCCTCCCCCAGGTAAGCGGCTGTGGCTCGACAAGCTGCGGCCACCCCAGGGGAGAACCAGCAGCGTCTCCTGAGATCCACGCCATGCTGGAACTTAGGGTTCTGGGAAACCAAGCAACCAGCTCACCTGCCTGGTAAGCAGCCATGAGCCTACTAGTGCATGGGCTGAGAATCAAACATCCCATCCCAATCTGACCACTTCCTTAGCAAATGGGAGCTAGAGATCTGAGCATCTCTTGGGAGGTTGTCCATATGCAATATAGCAAATAAGCAGGATTTCCTTCTACCATCTCTTTGAAGGCAAATATTTTTACCACTGTTTTCCTTTATTCTGATTAATGGTATTGGTCTATTCAATATTCTGTTTTGAAAAGTTCTATAACATTCTGTATTTCATTTTATTTTGCTATTCCTGGTTGAAAGAACAACTATTGTGAAAATAACAATATACTGTGCTACCCATTACTATTATCCCGGTAACCTGCTGTGAAGTTCTGTACCAATTTCACTACACTGTCCAAATTGACTTTGTTCCGTCTAGTTCTGTTGTATTTTACTACCTTCAAAATAAAAAAAAAAAAAAAAAATTGAAAGAAAGAAAGAATGTCATGGCTTTCCCAGAGAATTCATTCTGAACATGACCCACTTGGGAGGTGCTTATGATTTCTGCTTTGGGAGATACTAACAGATTGAGTGCCTCTGCAATGGTGCTTCTCAAACTTGAGGCAAGTAGAAGCCTAAGATACAGACAGGGCCTCTGGTTTTGTTTTAAAAAAAAATGCCCCTGGTAATTCTGATGCACTGCTGTGGGATTTAAGCAAAAGGAATTGTTCTTGCATATGTAAATGCCAGGTGTTTGGTAATTTAGAAATTCTCATTGATAGTTTCTTATGTCATTGGCAAAGAACTAAATTGAAGCACAATTACTTTTGACATATTCTATCATCCTTCTCTGAGGAGAGATCAAAGCTATTCATTATATTCAATTACCTGATGGAAAACTGTAACAATCATCTTTATTAGTGCCTGAAACCTAGTCCAAACCCAACAGCCAGCTTGGGAAAGACTGGCCTACTGTTTTAGGAGCACAAGTATTATCATCTACATCAACTCCAAGCTACTCTACCTTAGTTTTTTAAATGGGTAGTGAAATTCTTTCTTTATATTCCAGGATCAAAATAATATGGAGATACTGTTTAGGATCCTGCCCAAACTCCTTTCCTTTCATGCCACTATTCCCTGCACTCACAACTCTTGCAGTGAGCCATCTCAATCTAGTCAACTGCCCTAGGCAACTAGTGAGGACAGTAGTCCCACAAGCATCCCCTTAATCACTTTCCTCTCTCCTGTTAATTTGATTGGAGGATTCAGAGCAATCAAGCTAGCTGCTCAAACTACAGACTTATAAACCAGGCCACCAATATGGGCAGGCAGAGATAGCTCTTCTGCCCAGAATTAAGATACAGGAAAAGGATCAACAGTGATAAAAGCATACCCCCAGACACACAAACAATAACAGCCTGGACTCTCATGGCTTTCCAGACTCTAGTGAGGCACACTTTTGGCCCAAAGGTCCATAAGTCATATCTGTATTTTTATAATAAATTCCCTTGTTAGCTGTGACTTTTCTTCCTCTCCCCTTGCCTAGCATTCTAAACCCTTAAAAAAGCCACACTTGGCATGGTGGCACACACCTGCAATTCCAAGAGGCTGAGGCAGCAGAACTGCAAGTTCAAGCCCAGCCCAGTAAGTTTAGTAAGACCTTGTCTCAAAAATTTTTTTAAAAAGGGAAGAGGGTTGGGGATGTAGCCCAGTGAAAGTCCTTAAGTTTGGTTCCCAGCACTCCCAAAAAACACATACTTAAAATATTATTATAACTGTCAATTTTTCTTTAGATTTACAGAATCCAGAATAAATGATGACTTTCAGATTACATCTCAATGTATAAAGACGTTTAACATGCAGAAAAGTAATTGTGTTTGTCTAAAGAAGTACAGGAGCTGAGAATGGGGACATTTGCCTATAACTCCACCACACAGGAGGTTGAGGTGAGAGGATCATCTGGGCCACATCAGGCCGTGTCTCAAAATGCAAAACAAAAAATGAGTACAGCAACTAGCCACAGCAGGTTGAGCTCAATTAAGGTATTCTGAGCAAAGAGAAAGCCACACACAGGAAGACAAGACCCCACTCGGCACACGACCTCACTGCACTTCCTGTCTTGCTCTACAACAATGCTCTGAGGGTGACAGCCTGCTTGCACCTTTTCAAGATTGGGCCTGAATAATTTCCTTCTCACCAGTGCTCCCCTCCAAGGTGGCTTTCAAGCAGCGAGCAGATGAATCTAGGTCTGTAGGGAGACCAATGGGGAGAAAGGATAGGGAAAAAGCCACTCCTACAAAATGGCAAATCTAGAATGTACAGGAGTTTAATTAAGTGGACAAGCAGAGAAAAGAGGAAAGAAACGAGAAGATGCAAACACACCAAAGCAAGTTTTACTTCCAGAAAAGTGAGAAATACAGCTAAGACAGGACCCAGCCTAAAGAATTAGCGTGCTCTTGCATAGAATTTAGGTTTTGTTCTGTGGCAACAAGGAACAACCAAAGGATTCTAGGCAGGGGAGCAAATATACACATATTATTTACTATCTCCAATAAACATTGTCAAAGAAAAAAACACCAGACAAAATCAGGACTCTGGATGGGTCTTAACTGCAAGTTCTGGTTGCACTGCCCTGTCTGAAAGAATGGAATAAAAGCTGTACCACCTGTCTGGTGAGGTCACGCACAAGAGACTCCACTTCAACATGATTTTAACTTCGAGAGCCCCGTGTTGGGCATGGCGGCACACTGTGATCTTAGCACTCGGTAGGCTCAGGCGGGAAGACCACCTCCAGTTTGAGGTCAGCCTGGGCTACAGAGTGACCAAAAGGTTCTGGGTTCAGTCCCCAGTACTGTTCAGAAAAACCCACTGAAATTTTGTCCTCAGATGAATTTCATTCAGCCAGAGGGACAAAACTCCAAGAAGCAACATCCCTTGCTCTTCCTGAAGGTTGTTTGGAACACAATTTCTTTCCACTGCATTTGGCACCC